GTCACAGCGGTGGAATTTTTTCCCCAAATGAGCAGAACTCGAGGCAAGGTGTCAGTACATATTGACCATGTTTGTAAGAAGTTGTCTCAAAGCTTCACTGAGCTTTTCCAAAGGAAATGCTGAGTGAATTCCACATTTTTGCTGTTGTTTTGTGGTTCGTGCTCAGCTGTTTTCGCTAGACTGGAGTTGTGGGTGAGGTTTGCTGTGACTCTTGTCTTGTGTCAGTGACTGTACTGGGATTGTTCATCTCCATGTGGACCATGACAGATAATTCTACCAGAAATCTTGGAATTTGGGCTGGGAGCCAGCAGCCTTACAGCTGGAGAAACCTCCCAGTGCATCTCAGAGTCAGGGTTTAAACTCTGAACTAATTCACACAGAGCTTTCAGAACAGAAAAGACTTCTGCAGCTCAGAAGGTTCATCTCCAAAGTGTCTTGATACAGACTGGGTGGGCTGTAAACTCCAAAATATTCAAGCTATGGATGTAATCCTTCATTTCTGCCATCAGTGGTTGATTCCCTACCTTTCCCAACCTAAAACCCATTTCCAGAGCACATTATTTGCTCTCTAATAATTAATAATTGCAGCCTGTTTTCTGGCTTGGTTTGAATTGCTTAATTTCCTGTGGTTATGTGCAGTTCTGCAGGGTCTGGCCAGCATTTCCTCGTGGATCAGGGCTCACAGAACCCTGGAATATCCTGAGTTATAGGGGGCCCATGAGGGCAGTGAGGCCTCCCAGCAGCTGCAGTTTCATCATTACCCATTTGTCATCTCACACCATTTCTCTCCCAAAAATAAACAAGTTGGAGCAGTTTAAAATCAAAATATTTACTAATATTTAACAGATTATGATTTTAAATTCTGCATTGTTTCTTTGGCATTAGCCTTGCTTAGCACAGAGACATGCAGCACTTTATTGCTTGTGTTTCTGGGAATGTTTCTGCCTTTTATTTCCTGCCCACCTCTGTGGGTGTCTCTTGGTTGGTTTTGTGCAGAAATGGGTGTCACCTTCTCCCTTCCCTCCTGTGTGTCTTCTTGGTGTGCTTCCCCTCTCTGTGGTGCCTTTTTGTTGTGTTGGTGCTTCCCAGGCAGCCTCAGGCTCTCCAGAGGTGCCAGATCCTGGTTCTTTTTCCCTGGAGTGAACATCAAGGTGGATAATTCTGTCTCTTGCCGTCACAACTGACCCAGGTGCCTCCTCTAACCTCACAGCCACTAAATCCCTAAAGCTCTGAATTATCTTCATCCCTTTTTCTCCACTGAGCTTTGAATTTTGTGCTTTCAGGTGTTTGGGTTCAGAGTGGGCTGACACCGTTGAAAATTCCATCAGGAATTCCAGAGGCAGGATGGAGGGAATGGCTTCAAACTGATAAAGCAGGGCTGGATTGGATGTTAGGGAAAAATTCCTCCCTGTGAGGATGCTGAGGCCCTGGGATGGGTTTTCCAGACAGGATGTGGGCTCACCATCCCTGGAAGTGCCCTAGGCCAGGCTGGCCAGGGCTTGGAGCTCCCTGGCATGGTGGGAGCTGTCCCTGCCCATGGCAGGGGTGGCACTGGGTGGCCTTTAGAGTCCCTTCCCACCCAAACCCATCTGTGAGGTCCATCCCATGAGCCAGGAGAGATCCAAGTGCTTCCATGGATTTTGGAGCCTGGTCTGTGGCACAGCCACCCCAGATGAGTGGCAGCAATAATGCCACCAAGCTGTGTTTGTGCTGGAGCTGTTCACCCACCCTGACCCAGCTGCTGTCCCCTGTGCAGGGACACCCAGACACTGCCACCTGTGACCTGTCCCAGGTGACAAAGTCCTGGTGTGACCAAGGCCTGGCCAGCAGCTCTGTCTCCTGCCCTGGGAGTGGGGAAATGAGGGAATCAGCCTGGGCTGCTGTGGGTGGAGCCAGTTTGGCACATTTTGGATGTTCTGGAGGGCAAAGGATGAGTTTTTAAAGGAAATGGACAATTGCATGTTGTGCTGAGTGTGAGGCTGTGAGAGCTCTGCTTTTGGTCACTTTTGCCCATCTGTTTTCATAAACTTCCTCAATTCCATAGAGTTTCATGTCCTTGCTTGCTGTTCTGTTGTAACTTTTTCTACTTTCAGACTTGACAGCTGCTGCTAGCTCTGAGTTTTCTGCTCTTTCTAAGGCCTGCTTTTACAGCTTTCTGGAAGTCTTCTTACCTTTAATATTTCCCACAACTTTTGCCCATCTGTTTTCATAAACTTCCTTAATTCCATAGAATTTCAGTCTGGTTTGGGTTGGACCTCAAATCCCACCCAGTGCCCACCCCTGCTATGGCAGGGACACCTTCCACTGTCCCAGGCTGCTCCCAGCCCATCCAGCCTGGCCTTGGGCACTTCCAGAGATCCAGGGGCAGCCACAGCTGCTCTGGGAATTCTATCTCAGTTCCTCCCCACCCTCACAAGGAGGAATTTCTTCCCAAAATCCCCTGTGGCTTCACACAGCAGCACAGTTGCTCCTTGGTGGAGGATTCTGTCCTTGGTACAGAATTGAAAATTTCCATACAAGAAAAATGGGGTTTTCTGTGTCCTGTCCAGAATAATTTCTTCTTTTGGACAACACTTGGTATTAAAAAAAGATAAAAGAGATGTTAGGAGAAGCAAACTTGGGGCATTTTGTTTTTATCCCTTGAAGCATTTTGAAAGCCTGGAAGTCTAGAATAGCCACTGACATTTTTTCAGAGCTTTATTTTTGTATGGACTTGCCAGAAGGTCCCCATGTCCGTGGTATATTTAGCTGTACGTGCTGCCATGACTTAGCAAAATCCCAATTCCAGCCTGTTTTCACCCAGCCTCTGCCATCTGAGCCTCAGCTTTGAAGGAATGCTGGAGAAAATAGGTCTGGAGATGCATCCTGGCTCTTGCCAGCCTTCCAGGGACAGGGAATTCCAGAGCTGAGGTTCTCCCCTGGAGCCCATCTTGCCTGGGCCCTGGCAGGGTTTAAGTCCAAGGACTATTTTTAGTAAGACAAAAAACAAACATTCCTTTAGATTAGTGCTGGTCAAAGGGAAACTCCTGCAGAAAGCAGCCTGGGGATGGGATTTGTGCTGGGACTGAGGTGAGATTTTCCTCTGGGGGGTTTGATGGGCAGAGTTCTCTGTGATCAGGCAGAGGAGGCTCCTGGCTGCTTCTGGAGTCTCTGTTTTAACCCTTCCTGCCCTTGTTCTGCTCTGGTTCCTTTTTGGAAGTCTGTTCCTGCTCTCTGATTGTTCCTTTAATTTATCTGATCCTTTTTTTGGGAGGAGAGTCCTGATTTGAGGTCTGGACTGTGGTGGGAAAGGGTTTGGATCTGTAACCGGGGGGAAAGGAATCACATCTCCTTTTCCATGAATAATTCCTTTGCATTCCTCCTCCATTAGAGCTCCCTCCATGATTTCCTCCATCTCCTAATCAATCAACTAATCAATTTAATTAGCTGCTCCTGCCCCAGATGTGCAGGTGCTGCTCTCCCAGCCTTGGGAATGTCTGTCCCCACCCACTGTGGCTCCAGAGTCACCTGGAGATGGGAGGGAAGAGCCCTGGGAGCTGTGTGAGCTGGGAATGGCAAAAGCTCTGTTTAATTAGCAGCAAACTGGGCTGAGAGTTGCCAGTCTGGTTTCTGCTCAGGACTTGTGATGTTCCTGGTGGGAAGTGATAAAAGGGTCTGTGGGGGGAGCAACACTTCTGCTGGCTGGCATTTTGGGATGGAAGTTTGAGAGTTCCCACTTCAGCACCGTGCTCGGGCATCTTGGGATAATTCAAAAGGAAACTGGGATTTGGGAGAGCAGCCTTGACTCTGAAATCCTGGGGTTTGCTGTTCTTGAGGGGTGATGGTGTTCCTCAATTCCCAGTTTTCCATCACCAAATGGAGCATTTAAAGGGTCATTCAGTGGCAGCACATTGGGTTTTTACACTGGATTTCATGTTAAATTGTGGTGGGATTGGATCCAGGCTCAGGTACAGGATATTTGGGAGGTGATGGGATTGGATCCATGCTCAGGGACAGGATATTTGGGATGTGATGGGATTGGATCCATGCTCAGGGACAGGATATTTGGGAGGTGATGGGATTGGATCCATGCTCAGGGACTGGATATTTGGGGGGTGATGGGATTGGATCCATGCTCAGGGACAGGATATTTGGGAGGTGATGGATCCTTACTCAGGATGGATATTTGGGAGGTGCTGGATTTCCTCCATGACAAGACAATACCAAATCTTAGAACTGTTTTTATTTAGATTCTTCTCAAGAGGCTCATGAGGCTTTGCTCTCTGTTTTCTTTGGGACTCCTTGAAAAAGAGAAGTTTCTCTTGTTCTTAGAGTGCCTGGGATGCTTTTACCTGGTCCCAAAGTCCATTCCAGGTGCATCAGCTGGATGTGGAGGGATCCAAGAACCAGCTCTGGCCTCACTGCCTTGGCAGAGCACAGAGCTTTCCCAGCATTATCCCTCCTCCCGGTGCAGCACCAAAGATCTCAACTCCTTTTAAGCTATTCTTGGTCAATTAAAATTCAGTCCTGTTTGTCCCACAGCTCCTGAGGGCTGGGAGAACATTCTGAGGCACCTTTTCCATCACAGAAACCAACCCTGCTGCACCTGCACCTTCCACCTCTGTTTTTTGGATATTTGGGCTGCTGGATCCTTCTTCCTCTCCCCTCCAGCCCCTTGGCCAGATGTTTGGTCTGTAAAACCTCCCAGTTTTGATGTGTGTACCCCCCGAAGTGCTGAGAGAGCCTCTCCAGTCAGTGCCAGCTCACAAGCACATCCTCATTATCATTTACTTCACTGGAACAGCTGCAAATCTCAGTTTATATTTCATCTCTCAATCCTTGCACCATGCTCTAAAATATTTTGATGTAATGCTCCATCCAGCTGTGGTCCAGAGACTGGAAAGCTGCAGCACAAAGTTTATCTGTTAGGAATTTCCTGGCCTCATTAACCAGCCACTGAGGTAAATCAGGGTTTGTTCCCTTGATGTGGTGCTAAATTGTGCCATTTTTTGTGTTTGCAGATGTTCTCAAACAACGATGAAGCTGCGATCAACAAAAAACTGCCCAAAGAGCTGCTGCTTCGGTGAGTCCTCTCTGGACACCGGTGGGTTGTTATTTGCAGCCAGGATTTTGCTGCTGTGCTCCAAAATCATGAGCTTGGATCAGGTCACTCATAAAGCCAGACCCAAACAGAGGCAGGTCAAAGGTTTGTGTCAGCAGTTTGTGCTAAATGGGATTCAGTTTTGGGGTTGTAAATGCTGCGTTGGTTTGCTGGTTGTCTGTTTGGTGAATGGAGGAGTGAGGATCCTCTCACTGATGCTCCTGGTGAGGATGGGCTGATGTGGAGAAGAGGATTCTGCTTCTCTGAGGGGTTGAGTTGAAAGCTGAAGTGAATCCCTCTGCTCCAGTTATACTGGAATGGACTTTGTCCTGTCTCATGTCAATAGGAGCCAGATGTTCAGCTCCTGGCAGGATGGTCCTGTTGGCAAACACCAAACAGATCAGACCTGGTGCATTTTTATTGTTTGAAAGTCCTTTAAGGTCTCTGTGGAAAATTCTGCCCCGTGGGAAGCAGGAGGGGAGTGTGGGGGTGATTGTCCCTCATTTTGGGCTGTGGAAGTAGAGCTGAGTTTCAGTGCTTTGAGCTCAGGTGTTAGGCTGGAAATGGGGAAAGCAGAGGCAGGGGGAAGCTTGAATTATTAACAACAACAACGTCCTTAACACTGCAGGAAACTGGTTCTGTCAACACCCAGTGACAGTGAAGTCTGTGGGGAGGGAAATGTGACTCAGGGAATGCTGCTGGCTCACGTCTGGAATGAAAGGAGCAGGGAAAAGGGATGACTGTGTTTAATTTTCAGTGCACTGGCTGCCCTGGAAGGGTATTTCCCACCTGCTTCAGTTGCTGTTTCCCACCTGATCCCATTTCTTTTATTCCAGTATTCCTCACCCCAGAGCACAGTGTGTGGCTGTTAGAGCCCTCCCTGCTGCCAGGGTGGATATTTGGAATTGGGGCCTGGGAAATGATTGTCCATGTGTGTGGAGATCCCTGGAGAACCAGAACCTGGGGGTGAGGGATGCCTGTGGGAGGAGCAGGATGGAGTCCCAGCCTCCACAGGAGGAGTTTGCACAGGGATTTGCAGTTGGCAGCTGCTGTGCTTGTCCTGAACCATGGCTGGGATCTGGAGCAACAAAGGAGTGGCAAAAAATTGTCTTTCTGGATTTTCTGAGATGATTTTCTGGTGGGAGCAGATAAAACAAACCTGGGGTTTTTCTCTGTGCTGAGGTGACAAGACAGGAGTTGTGAAGAGCCCTGATGGGTGAGGCAGGGAATCTGTATGGCACTGGGAGTGTGGGGAATAGAATAGGGAGAAAAAGCTTGGGTGAAGGCATGTAAATGGGATTTTGCATGGATTTCAGGGGAAGGAGAAGTGTGAGGGCATGAGGCTCCCAGGAGCAGAACTTCTCTTGGAGCTGGGTGAAGTTTCTGAGAGATAGAAGTGGAATAATCCTGAGTGGAGCCAGCAGCTGAGCTTTGGCTCATTGCTGTGTGTGTGTGGAGGTCCAGCCACCTCCAGAGGTGTCCCCTCCTGGCTCTCAGCTGGCAGGGGACAGAGCTGGAGCAGGTGCAGCAGTGCCAGGACATGGATTGGTCACCACCTGCTGGGGCTGGGGCTGCCCCTGGATCCCTGGCAGTGCCCAAGGCCAGGCTGGACAAGGTTTGGAGCAGCCTGGGACAGTGGGAAGTGTGACAAGAGTGGCACTGGATGAGCTTTGAGGTCCCTCCCAAGCCATTCCCTGACTCCATGAACTCTGCTGGACAGTTGGAGAAGGATTTGTGGTAGGAAGGAGGGAAAGTCCTGCATGGAGCAGGGAATTGCATCAGGACAAGCCCCAGTGTGGCTGAGTTCCCACACTCCTGCCCTGTGGAAATGTCTGTGCCTGTTGTGTCCTGCTGTCCCTGGTCATCCCAACCTGCTGGAAAGCAGGGAATTGTTCAGGATCTGGTGGAACTGAGGGGAAATCAGGAGTTGATAAATGTTTAAAGCTCATAAGTAATGGTTTGGAGAGCTGGAATTCACTGTTAGCATACTGTGAAAATTAATTACTGTGCATTGACAGTGCAGCCTTTGAAAGAGAAGCTTGGATGGGTTTTCTGCAGGAATCTCCTGTAAATGGGTGTCACTGTGTGCAGGACAAAGGCTGGTGTGTTTGGGCACTGCTCTGTGAAGTCCTGTCCCTGCTCTGGGCACTCTCAGACAGCCTTGGGGTCCCCTGTGTGTGGAGTGAAAGCTGCACTTAGGCAAAATAAAGAGGAGGAGGATGTGAAAGGGGAGAACAGCAGCCTTTGTTATCCCTAAAAGTACAGGGATGGAGCAGGAGAGTGGTGCTCCTGAGGACATGGCCCTGTCCTGTGTCTGGGATGCAGCAGTGACATCCTGTTCTGCCCCACCTGCAGTGGGGACATTGTCCTGTGTGTCCAGAGAGCAACACAGGGTGGGGATGTCATAGAATCCCGGGATGGTTCGGGTTGGAAGGGATTGTCTGGTTCCACCTGCCATGGCAGGGACACCTCCCACTGTCCCAGGCTGCTCCAAACCTTGTCCAGCCTGGCCTTGGGCACTGCCAGGGATCCAGGGGCAGCCCCAGCCCCAGCAGGTGGTGACCAATCCATGTCCTGGCACTGCTGCACCTGCTCCAGCTCTGTCCCCTGCCGGCTGAGGGGACACCTCTGGAGGTGGCTGGACCTCCACACACACACAGCAATGAACCAAAGCAGCAAAAAGCAGAATTTCCTGCACTGCTCCCTCCTTCCCTGGCTGCCCCAGCTCCTCCCTGGGCAGTGACTCCCAGAGGTGAATCCATGCTCCCTGTTGGCTCCAGCTGTGGTTGTGTCCCCACAGGGACATCCTGTCCCTTTTTCCCTGCATTCCCACTGCTGTTGGAAAGGTGCTTTCCTTCCCTGAGCCTGGATCTCCTGGCAGAGGTGGTCCCTGCTGCCCTCCTGAAGGAGGTGGCACTCCCAGTGTGACATGGGGCTGCTGCCCAGCTCCTGCTTGGCCCCAGCAGGAATTCAGCTCTTCCTGCTGGGTCACAGGCAGGTCAGGCAGTTTGCAGCTCTCCCCTGGCCTAAGCAGCTTTGACTCCGTGCTCTGCCCATCCAGCCCTGCCCAGCACATGCCCAGGCCTGGCTCTGCCATGCCCACTGCTGATTTATCCCTGGAGAGCTGGAGTTGTGCCCCTGGGGAGCTCTGAGTTGGCAGCAGAGCTGTGATGTCTGAGCCCCTGCCCGGCCCGTGGGAGCAGGGCTGAACTGGGATTGAACTGGGATGCTGGGGGGGTCGCTGGCACAAACTGGTGTTGATAATTTTAGAAGGCTGAAGGTCTAAGCTGGCTCACCTCGGAGCCTGCAGCATGCAGGGATTTCATGAGAGTCTTGACCCTAATCTAATTAGAGCAGCAGTGGGAAAGTGAGGAGTCCTAGAAACCCCTGAGTGGATTAAGAGGTTGAAACCTGAAAATAGCTCAGAGTGAGTGTGTTTTACCCAAATTGTGCAGAGCTGAGCTGTTCAGACAAAATCAAACATGTAGGGAGTCCCTTTGCAGTGAGACAATTTAATCTGCTGCAAATCCAGATTTAATTCCTGTTTGGGAAGCTCAGTCTGCCTTCATCTGTGATCAGTGTTTGATGATAAAGTTAATTTTGTGGATTATGTTCTCCACTGTGGACTCTGAAGAACAAAATCACCAATGTAAAAGGGCTCACCAGGACAGGAATCCTGTTTGGGTGGAAAAATAAACGTTCCAGCACAGTGCCTTTGGGCCTGTTAATGCAGAATTGGGAAAAATCATTCAAGCAGTGCTGATCAACCTTCTGCTGCAGCTCAGTCACTGCTTGTTTGTGGGGTTTGGGGTATTTTAGTGTTGTCCAGGAGTTCCTTGGAGTGGGAAAATCCCATCCTCAGGGCTGCAGGGGAATTCTCAGCTGGGGTCATGGTGCCTGCTGCTCTTCCTGGTCCTTGGGTAGCACCTGGATCCAGTTCTGAAATGATGAAAATCCACAACCAAGGAGTGCCTGCTGTGAAAAAAATCCTTTTTGCAGCCTGATTGTGCTGAATCACTGACTCAGGGTCTTGGACAAGTGCAGGAGGAGCTGAGGGAGCACTGGGCAAGTCCCTGGAGCTCCTGAAAGCTGAAATCTCTCTGCTGGGGAAGGCAGAGGGATGAGGGTTTGGTCAGGGGGAATCCCTGTTGATGTGTGGGCAGGCTGGCAGGGGAGGAGCAGCAAGTGGAGGAGAATTTATCCCAAATCTCCCAGCCCTGAGAGAGGGATGTGGTGATCACTAACAGTCTGGGATTCCCATGGAGTAGGGAATTTTAATGAAAATAGAGACAACTTCCATAGTGAGTGACCCATAGAATTGGAAGTTTTATTTTCTCCTATGACAGGAATTTTCCCCAGCTTCTCTCATTTCCCTGCCTTTCCTGGTATTGTTGTGCATGGACATGGTGCTGAATAAACCCTTGGACACCAATAAATGACTTTTTGGGTTCAGAGGGAGCCTCTTCTGTAGGCAGGGAGGATGGAACTGCTCTGAAATCCAGAATTTGGGGCTCCTGACAGCATTAAAATGCACTGGGCTCTTCTGCAGAGCTTTTCCCCAGCACATCACTGTCAGATTTGTCTCGTGGTAAGATCAGAAGTGCCTTGAACCCCTTGGATCTTAACCCCTTAACTCCTTGGATCCATGAGTATCCCTGGGAAGTGCATGAGCACAGGAGGGAATGTTCATCCTGATTTAGCTGGATGCTGCTGTGTGATACCTTTAGCATCAATGTTCTGATAAATAATCTGCATTTGCCCTCCATCAGGAACACCCTTTCCACCCAATATTGGTGTTTCTGCAGGGCTTTTTCCATCCCTGCTTCTCAGGATGCTTGTGGCTGACAACGTTTGCCTTCCCTTTTGTGTGGCCTTCAAGTTGAAAATAGTAAATTAAAACATTAAAGCACATTGTGGTTGAACTCTTATCTTATATTGCTAAAACTCCAGTTTTATAATTGTTCCCAAAGGGAGCAAGACCTTGATGTCCTCCCACCCTCCACTTGACCTCATCTGTTTTGGGACACAATTGTTTGAATAACCATAAACCACCAAATGACATTGAAATCCCATTGAATTTTAGACATTATTGATACCTTGGTGCAGACTGGGAGCTTTCCATGGGCTGGGTGCTTCCTGCACCCACAGCTGGGAGGGTGTGATGTGATCCCCAGGGCAATCCTGGCAGTCTCAGCTGTGTCATTCCTTTATCCCAATAATAGCCCAGCAGACCTGGGCGTTGGCCGGGTCCCTGGGGTGTGCCCTGACCCTGGGTGCCACTCAGGAGTGACCACAGTGTCACTGTCCCTCCTGGCTGGTGTCATTGTCCCTCCTGGCTGAGCACATCTGCCTCTGCCACTTCTGGAAGTGCAAAATCCTGGGATGCTTTGGGCTGGAAGGGATCTTAAAGGCATCCACTCCCAGCCCTGCCACTGTGCCAGGTGGCTCCAAGGCCTGTGACACTTCCAGGGGTCCAGGGACAGCCACAGCTGGTGATGGGGGGTGGCACTGCCCTTTTCCTGGAGCTGGTAATGAGGGATGGCACTGCCCACACTGAGGGATGGCACTGCCCTGATCCTGGAGCTGGTAATGAGGGATGGCACTGCCCACACTGAGGGATGGCACTGCCCTGATCCTGGAGCTGGTAATGAGGGATGGCACTGCCCACACTGAGGGATGGCACTGCCCATTTCTGGGAGCTGGTAATGAGGGATGGCACTGCCCACACTGAGGGATGGCACTGCCCTGATCCTGGAGCTGGTAATGAGGGATGGCACTGCCCATTGCTGGGAGCTGTTGCTGAAGGTGTTGGAGTGTTAATTCACTCGTGTGCAGTCAGAGCCAGCCCAGATCCCTGCTGGTGCTCCCTGTCCTGGCTCAGTGTGGGGCTCCTGCCAGGGTCACTTGGGGTGAGCAGTCACTGGTTTGGGTCAGGACCCACTCCAAGGTGTGAGGTTTCTGTTTCCCAGTGGCTCCATGGCCATGTTTTGTTTCCATTTGGGAACTGCTGCCTCTGCACTTCCTTTCACAGTTCAGCTTTCAGCCAAATCACAAAGAAGTTTTGCTGTCCCAGTCCTTTTTTTTTCCCTCCCCCTGCCTCCCCCCTTATTTTCCCTGTCCCCTTTTGGTTTAAATGTCAATAACCTATAAGGTATCTCTTATTTCTGTTCCAGAATTTTCTCTTTCCTGGATGTGGTCACTCTGTGTCGTTGTGCTCAAGTTTCCAGGGTAAGAACATTCCTCTTTCCTGGTGGATTTTAGCAGGAGGTTGGATTTGGGTGACAATCCTCCCTCTCCAGGGGGGTTGGGCCAGGGAGCTTTGTGCCACTCAGCTGGGGTTATTTAGTGTCCCCTGGAAGTCCTGGAAAATTCCCATAGCACCAGTGAAGGGGAATTCTGAGCTGGAGTAGCATTTTCCAGTGTCCCAGGTACAAAGGGGACAGGGCTGATGTTTTGCCCAGAGCTCTCCCCTCAGGAGCTCCCCAGAGAGCTCACCCTGCTGAAATCCCCAACATGGGTTGAGCCCAAAATGGCATCCTGTGGGTTTTGGTGGAAATTTTAATTCCCAGAGATGTTGCACACTCAATGAAAGTTCATTTTCTCCTTGGATGTAGTTGGAGTAAGCATGGAAATAAAGTGAGGGGTTGTTCTTATCCTTCATGGGCTTCAGTTAATGACACCCAGCTTGGATTATTTGCTTGGGACAATTCCTAGAGCTGCACTGGGAAGTTCTGGAGCTGCCAGATTTATTCTGGTGCTTTTTCCTGCCAGTGTCTGGTAACTCCCAGGGGAAGCAGCACAGCAAGGGCAGGGTTGTGATCCAGGGAAGGTGTTGGAGTGCTGTGTTCACCATCCTGGCTGGGGGACACCTGCACAAACCCATCAGTCCTGGCTCCAAACCTCAACCACGACTGATTTAATTACTCTAAGCACATTGGAATTTTAAAAAAACTGCTTAAACATTGTTAATTGCTTTAAAAAATTACCCTCTGTGGTGTCTGGGCATCACAATTGTCACCTGAATAACACAGGTTGTGCAGGGAAGGAGCTCCCAGCTGAAATCCAGCAGAGCAATGTTGGCCAGAATGGGCTCCCAGGGATTCTTTGCCAATGTCAGGGTGTTCTCCTGGCCTGTCCCAGCTCCTGTTCCCTGGCACAGCACAGGGAGTTCCTGCAGGGATGTGCAGGAAGGTTCTGGAACGTTCCCTGCACTGCCCATGGAATTATGCAGCCACTGGGGCGTTTCTCACTGCTTTTCTCCAGACCTTGAAACAAACATCAGCAGTGAGGTTTAAACCCCAAAAACTCAATTAATGCTCAGTTCTTTCATCTGTTGTAACTCTGCACTAACTCCTGCCCAAGAGCTGCTGCTGTGTGCTGGGGAGGAGCTCGGTGCAGGTGGGATTTGGGGTGGAAAATCCCCCTGTGTTTACCCCTGGCTCCTGCACAGTGCTGCCTCCTGGTTATTACAAGATCCCCTTGTTTACCTTGATGATGAAACTGAAACTTTAAATTCAGCTCTGTGCTCCCCACCTGGCTGAGGGCACAGCAGCCACCTCTGAGTTCCTGCCTCTCCTTTGGAGCAGGAACCATGGGAGATTTTGGTGATTTAAACAACACCCAAACCCTTTGGCACTGCAGCTGTGGGGTCCCCTGGGGGACTCACTGTGCCCAAGTGTCCTCTGAGGTGCTGGGGAGGAAATTCCAGCCAGGAATGTGAAAATGCCAGAGCTCCAGGCACTCTCCTGGCTCACACCTGCACCTCCCAAGGGAGTGGAAGCTGCCAGGGCACCTCTTCCCTGGCTGGGAGACTCAGAATTCTGAGTTTGGAGGGCACCAAGCTCCCTGCCAGTGCTCCTGGTGCCTGCTCAGTTCTCCCTGCTGGCTGCAATTACCTGTTGCTTCCCCACCTGGGACAGAATGTTGTTTTTCAAAGGAACAAACTGTGACTAGGTCCCCCCTGACCCTTTTTTTTTTTTTTTTTTTCATATTAACCACACATTTACATTTTTTCCCCTGATAAAGGCATGGAATGTTCTGGCCCTGGATGGCAGTAACTGGCAGCGAATTGACCTGTTTGATTTCCAGAGGGATATTGAGGTATAATTAAGTGACATACAAACCTATTTTTTCTTGTTAAAATGTAATTACAGCCTAGAATGGATTAATACTCCCAGTGTAACCCTGTCTACCTTCCCTGGAGATAGAAATAATTAATTTCAGTTCTTCAGCTTCAGGGAGTCTTTTAAAGTCCTGGCAATCCATTCAGCTTTTGAAAATGGACAGAGTTCTATATCTCTAGCAAGACTTAAAGGTTGTAATGGAAGGAAAGTAGTTTTTGTCTGTTCTGAAAAAAGAAATTAATAGAAAAGGTAATTTTGGGTGGAAAACTGCTGCTTGTATGGAAGAGAATTTAAGCAACTGCTCCTTGCACTCAAATCAGACCATGAGGACTGAATATTGAATCATGGCCTGAAATATTTGTATCTTTAATATCAAAAATTGAAATTAAAGATGATTTGGGAAGGACAAGGTCCAAATTGTCCCTAAAAGATGCAGCTTTGGAGCTGCTCTATTGTAGCTTAACCTATGGGATTTGGATTCTGCAGCAGCAGTGGGGATGGAGGCTGAAAATTCAAATTGTCTTAGGTAGGAAAATGGGTGAGAAAACCCCCAATCCTTAAATCTCTTCTCAGGATTTTTTATCCAGTTTAAAACAGGAGGAGAGAGATTGAAAACATTTCACATTGGAGGGAAATGAGGAGTGTGTGGCATTAACTTGTGGTAGACAGAGGCATCAAGGAGCTGCTGGGTGAAGGTTCTGACCTTGTGGGAAATCCACCCCTGATTTTGCAGGAAAGTGTTAAAATAATCCCTTTGTGCAGCTGAGAGTCAGGGGTGAGGAGCAGGAGGTGCCACTGTCACCTGAGGAGGGTCTGAGTGGCCTGGGGGAAGGAAATGGGGGATTTTGGGTCTTCAGAATGAATCCTTCCCCTCACAACGTGCCCTAAAAATCCCAGAGCCATGGAATTATTTATTTATTCAGAGTGGAGTTCTCAGGGTTCCTGATGTGTGGAGTGGCAGGAGGTGGGACTGAACAGCTCAGCCTGGGAGGAGGGAGAGGCTGGGAGTACAAACCAGGCTTTTCCCATTCCTCAGTGCTTTTGGGGTGGTTTTCATGTCCCTGCACATCAAACCTGTGTTCTTGCCTAAGCCCAGGCTTCCCCTCTGAAAACAAAATTTGTTGTAGCTCACCTCAAAGCTCCTGCTGGACATCCTCAGGCTCTGCTGTAACAGAGTTAAATCCATCAGCCCGTGGAAATTTATGAAAGAAACATGTTTGGCTCCTCTAATTTAGCAGAATTTGTAGGCTTGCTGTAATAGAGTATAGAATATAGAATAGAATATAAAATTGAATACAGAATATATAGAATAGAATATAGACTAGGATATAGAATTGAAATTAGAATATAGAATTTAATATAGATTTGAATATAGAATATAGACTAGAATATAGAATAGAATTAGAACTGAATATAGAATATATAATTTAATATATATTTGAATATTTAATATAATATAGAATAGAATCTAGAATACATAGAATGTAGAATAGAATATAGAACTGCAGAATCAGGGGGTGTTTCAGCTTTTCCAGCCTTTTTTCAGGGCTCTGGAGGTTGAGCTGCTTCCGTGGTGTCCCTAGAGCTCACCTGGCCAGCCCAGGGTCTGGTGGTGGGGTTGTGTTCTGCTGAGCCTGGTGGCTGATTTGGGGTTTTTTAGACTGGAAAAGAGATTCTGCAAGAAAATCCTCATTTCAGAGAGGTTCCAAATTCCAATTAGTCCTGGAAGGAGTGAGGGTTGCTCCTGCTCTGTGAGGAACAGCCAAAGTGCAGGGGAAGGTTCTGAGTTTCTGGTGCAAATATTCTCCAGTGGTTTTGCTCTTTGGTCCCAGGAGAAAAGTAAATCCTGGCTGTAATGGAGTCTTTGGGTCCAGATTTGAAATTAAAACCCCTTTTCTGGACCTCTGGAGCATGAATGGTTTAAACCCTTTTCCTTCAGGAGCAGAACTCGTGGGCTGGTTCTGCTCATCTCTGTTTTGAGTAGAAATTGGAGTTTATCCATTGGCTGTGCTTGGAAATCTGGGCTGTAGCTTCTCTCACCTCCCTTGGGGAGTCTGTGCCCATGTCCAGGAGCTCCAAAAAGGAGGAAATTTCTCAAAATGCTTTAGCTGATTGTTGGAGCCCAGGACATTCCTCTGACTGCCCTGGATGGCTTGAGACTCTGGCAAGGGGCTCAGAGACCTTGGCATGGAGTCAAAAACACCTGTGCCTTTGATTTTAACCCATGGAAAAAATTACCAGCTTTGTGTGAAGATTCACAAGCCACAAGAGTTGAGTAGGATGATAGTTCATTTCTCACAGGGTGAAAAAGTAGAATTTTGGGGCTTTAGAATGGGGATTCAAGAGGCAAGATGGAGGAATTTGGGCATGTCCTGTCCTTTCTTCTCCTTCTTCCTGTCCTCCATCATCTCTGTGATGGTGACACTTCTTCATTGGTTTAGAGTAGGCACAGACTGTCTAACATAGGTGATGGGTATTGGAAAATTATTGTCAATACAGGTAGTTCTTAGTACAAAATGTTAACAACCCCCAAGGGCCAGCAGTGTGCCACGAACCGACCTGCTGGACAGACCTCTCAGCTGGTCAGGGAAAAATGTAACAGACAAGAGAAAACAAACAACCTTGAAAAGCAGAACTGAGGAATCTCGACTTCTTCTTTGAAAAAGAAGAGACTTTCTACTACACTGGGGTCATCCCAGCCTCTAACCCTGTCATTGATTGGCTTTAGTTGATTGCTCCTTGTCTCCATCTTCAGAAGCTGAATAATTCTCCCTGCCCTCCCTCAGCCCATTCCCCCAGCACTTTTATCCCCTTAGCACCGTTTTCCCTTGAACAACAAATTGTTGTCAGTCTGCAAAATGTTCACTTGAGCTTCCTGAAGCTCTGGGGGGTTCTCACGTGGCTCCTCTGTGTCCCCCAGGGCCGGGTGGTGGAGAACATCTCCAAGAGATGCGGGGGATTCCTGCGGAAGCTGAGCCTGCGGGGCTGCCTGGGAGTGGGGGACAACGCCTTAAGGTACCTTGGGAGAGGGCTGCAAAACCAGAGAAATCTGGGATTGATCTGGATCACATTTATCTGGGGGTAAATCTGGATTTTCTAATTTCCCTGGGGAAAAAATGGGGAGAATTTATCCCCGCTTCGGAGCTGAGACACTCAGGATGTCAAAACCTGGAGAGCAGTGATGGAGGTTATTAATTTCTCATTTAATAAATTTTTTATTATTAATCATTTTTATAATTTAATTTGCCATTTTTATCATTTAATGTATTGGGAGTTTATATAAAATAAATAAATAAAAATTAAAATAAAAATTAAATTTATAAATATATTACTACATTTTAATATAAATACAAAAATATACATAGATCTAAACATTAATATAATAGAAATCAGTAAAACTAGAATAAAATATTATATTAAATCATAAATATAATTAATTCATTAATATAAATATTATATATAAAAAGAAATATATTAAGTACTATAAATTAAAATAGACTACATTCATAAACTAAATAATAAGTATAATTAATAGAAATATTATAAATACATCACTAAATTTAAATATGTGTAAGTATATAAGTATAGATATATAAATATTCATTAATAAAAATAAATATTATTAGAATAAATTAATAAATTAAATGTAGACTTAATTAATAGAAATATTGTCAATATATCACTAAATGTATTTTTAACCTCACCCAGCAGCCACTTCTCTCATTAAAATAAAGCCAAGGGCTGAGGCTGATGGGCACTGGGTGATTCTGGTGCCTCCAGGCTGGGACATCCCAGGGCAAGAGGTGGGGCAGCAGAAATCAGGGATTGTCTTGGGTTTGTTCCTGATTCTGTTGAGCATTTTCTTCTTTATAGATTCTTTCCTTTATTATTTTATTCCTCCTTGATTCTCTTGATTCTTCTTTCTTGATTCCTTTCTACTTTCTTGATTTCCATAATGGTTTTCTTGGGGTTTTTTTTTTGTTTGTTTTTGTTTTCTTGATTCTTTTATTCTTGATTATTTCTTTCTTGATCTTCTGCATTTTCTTCCGGATTTTCTTCTTTCTTAATTCTTTTCTTGATCTTAATCCTGATTTTCATCCTGATTTCCTGCTTGATTTTCTTGATTTCTTTATTGGTTCTTTTGATTTTCATGGTTTTCTTCTTGATTTCCTTCTTGATTTTCTGTGTTTTCTTCTTCAATCAAGTTTGTAAAACTTTTTTTCACCTGGAATTCCTTTGCCTCACAAATCCAATGTTTTCCCTTTCCTTCCCCCCAGGACCTTTGCCCAGAACTGCAGGAACATCGAAGTGTTGAACCTCAATGGTTGTACCAAGATCACGGACGCGTGAGTAAAACTCTTCTCTTTTGGCTGCCAAAAGCTCTTCTTTTGGCTGCCAAAAAAAGGCGGCCTTGGGGTTGTGGGAGGTTTTCCATGGAATCATGGAATGGTTTGGGTTGGAAGGACCTGGAATCCCATCCATTCCCACCCTGCCATGGCAGGGACAGCTTCCACCATCCCAGGCTGCTCCAAGCCCTGTCCAGCCTGGCCTTGGACACTTCCAGGGATCCAGGGGCAGCCACAGCTGCTCTGGGCACCCTGTGCCAGGTTCCCACCTCCATCCTCACCCCATCCTGCCCATCCCATGGGATTTCTGTGGCCTGGCATGAATCCATTGCAGGAGTTGTCCCCATGTGTCTCTTCCAGCACCTGCACCAGCCTCAGCAAGTTCTGCTCCAAACTCAGGCACCTGGATTTGGCTTCCTGCACCTCCATAACCAACCTGTCCCTGAAAGCACTCAGGTAGGAGCTAGCAGCAGGGATTTTCCATGGAATTTTAGAATCATTAAGGTTAGAAAAGACCTCTAAGATCCTCCAGCCAACCCAACGTTCCCTCCAGAGCCTCCCTGTGGAGCAATGTCCCCTGCTGGGTGTGGGGCTGCTCTGTGGTTCCCAGAAATGGGCATAGCAGAGCTTCTGGCTTGGAGCAGGATTTCTCCTGAGGCAAACGAGCTTTCCATGTGTGTCCCTGTGTCCCCAGCGAGGGATGCCCGCTGCTGGAACAGCTCATCATCTCCTGGTGTGACCAAGTGACCAAGGACGGGATCCAGGCGCTGGTGCGGGGCTGCGGGGGGCTCCGGGCCCTGTCCCTCAAAGGCTGCACCCAGGTACAGCTGGAGAAGTGGGAATGGGCATGGCTGGGGTGTCCTGCTGTCCCTCAGGGTGTGGGCGTGGAAGTTCAGGGATTTGGGTTATTCCCTTCTCCAAAATCCCCACGGAGTTGGAGATCAGGTGCTGGGGTGGAAGTTCTTCAACAGCCCCGAGGAGTGGGACAGGGAATAAATCACTTGTGGGGCTGGAGAATCCTTTTATCCCAATTTTCCTTTTCCCACTGATCCCTTGGAGGAGGTCACTGTGATCCATGGCCAGATCTGGGCTCGAGGGGTTTCATGGCAGTCCTTTCCTCTGGCTCTGCTCCCGTTGGAGTAAAAAGCAGGAGCACTCCTGGTGCTGCTGCTTCTGTGCTGCATTTCCCTCCTCCCCAGAGGAAATCCCCATTCCCTGCTGTCCCAGCTTTAATTCCTGGATCCCAGTGCTCCCAATTCCCATCCCTGTGGTTTCCCTTCCAGCTGGAGGACGAGGCCCTCAAGTTCATTGGTGCCCACTGTCCTGAGCTGGTGACCCTGAACCTGCAGACCTGCCTGGTGAGTGGCACTGCCCAGGATTCCCTCATGGAATGTGCTCCATCCCCCTGCCCACGGGGCACTTGTCACCAGCAACTCCTTGGTGGCACTTCAGGGGCACTGAGCCCCTCACCTTTGCTCTGTCAGGGGTGTTTCTCTCTTCCCTCTGAACTTGTCTGTGGGATGAGCTGGAAAAATCCTTCCCATCAGGCTGGGCTGGTTCTGCCAGGCCTCTCCTCTGGTCCCTGTGCAGAACTGAGCCTACAAAGACACTTCTGCACAGGAAGGCCCTCAATCATCTCTGTGGTGCCAAAAATGTGTGTTTATGCCTAGATTTTTTTTGACATAAACACACATTTTTGGCATGGGCTGGCTGTCTGTGCCATTACAGTCAGACACGGGAACAGGAATGGATGGATGGACCCCCTGTGTCCAGGGATGGGATTGGATGGACTCCCCAGGGACAGGGACAGGGATGGACAGACTCCCTGTGTCCAGGAACAGGGATGGACAAGACCCCCTGTGTCTTTCCAAGCAGGAATTTCAAAGCCCTGCAGGACTTCCAGCACCTTCCCCCATCCCTCACTGGGTGCAGCTCCAAAACATTTCCCTCCAGATCCCTTCCCTGATATTCCCAAATCCAGCGAGGTTTATCCTCCCTCTGCTGCTTTGGTAAAACATCTCCATAACAATTTTGTGGTGACACATTTCCCTAACACTTTTTGAGCCAAAAAGAACTGAAATTTGGAATTGGGAGAGACAAATCCTACCTGGATTGAGGCAGCTGTGTTTTCCCTGGCAGCAAATCACAGATGATGGGCTCATCACCATCTGCAGGGGCTGCCACAAGCTGCAGTCCCTGTGTGCTTCTGGCTGCTCCAACATCACCGACGCCATCCTCAACGCCCTGGGACAGAACTGCCCACGCCTCCGGTGAGTTCTCCCAGCACTTCCCCCGTGGAACACCCAGCACAGGCTCCAGATGCTCTCTGAGCCATTTCACCCCCAAAGGTTTTCCCTCTCTGAGCTTTTTTCAGGTGTTTGGAACAGGGTGGTTGTGATTTTTGGGTTGTCCCCTAAATTCTTGGGGTTTAAAAGAGCTCCCAGCGTGGTGCCCGCAGGCTCCGTGTGTATCCATGGGGGGAATTTGGGATTGGGTGAACCTTTCCAGAGGTGCAGGATGAGGAGCACAAACTCAACCAGGACAAATCCCACCCCAAATTCCAGATGAGGAATGCAGGTTTTCAGTTTCCTTTTTCTGCCTCTGTCAGGGTCAGGATTGAAGGCTCTTGAGATGATGGCTCACATTTAGATTCAGGTGTTTATTATTTATTATCATTGTTACAGCCTTACAGCAGTGAGTTCTGCAGTTTTTCATTAACAAGGCACAAAATGGCCAACTATCTCTTGTTACAAGGTATTTTAAGGCTAAACTGTCCAATTAAGAAACAACACCTAAATTATTTTCCCTTTTAACCCAATAACTGATCACTCAAAGCCTGCACTGTGGAATTTCCTGTCCAATTACAAAATACCACCCAAACCCATGAAGAAGAAGGAAGAAAAAGGTGAAGAAGAAGGAGGAAGAAGATAAAGAACAACCAGTCTCCACCCTAAAACCTCCATCTTGCTTCATATTTATTTCTATATTCTAAAACCCCAAACTCTAATTTTCCACCCTGTGATGTTACACACTTCTAACCAACTCCACACCCACAATCCCAGTGCTATCAATCAATTTTGGAAGCCTTCTCCACAGCCTCAGGTCAAATGCAGGGGGTGACAGGTCAGATGCTCTCCAGGGAGTCAGAATCTGTCAGCACAGAAAGTTTCCAATCCTGAGCAGCCACAACTCCAACATCAGAATTCCTGAGGGTGGCAGATCCCAGAGCAGCTCCACGAGGACCTGGGGTGTCCCTGGCTGGAGATGTCCCCTGCTGCTCTCCCCGGGCAGGGGTGGGACTGAGGGGTCTCCTGAGGTCATTCCCAGCCCCCTCCTGGGATTTGGGGGCTCCACCACGTTTCTTTCCTTGTGTCCTGCAGAATATTGGAAGTGGCAAGGTGTTCCCAGCTGACCGACGTGGGCTTCACCACCCTGGCCAGGGTAAGAGCCCTGCTCCTCCTCCTTCCCCTCCTGCTTTTCCTTCCTTTTCATAAAGGAAAATGCAAAAAATACCCCAGTAGGTAACCAGGGAAATACCCTGGGGAAAGCTTTGAATTTGGGTGGAAGCTTAAGGTCCAAAAATTCGGTTTTATGGGATCTTTGGCATCATTCTGGCTCGCACACCAGGGAGGATTTGCATCCAAACCACAGGAAATGTTAAATAATTTAGTTACAAACTTTACTGTTTTGTCTAAATTTAACTTCATTTACTCTCCATGATTAAAAAACCCCTTAAATTAGTGAAATTTCCTTTATTATCCTTCAGAAACTTTGTAAGCTTTCCTTCCAGTTGTGGTATTTCATGGAGGAACCCCTTAATTTTTAAAGCAAACTGTCTTTGTGGTGGTTAATTTATATTTATATTTCTAGTTATATTTCTAGTTATAGTTATATAGATTTTTGTATATTTAAATAAATATTTAAATATGTAAATATTATATAATGTATATACTATTTATATTTATATTTGAAATAGAATGTATTTATATTATCTTTATATTTTCTACGGTTTTATATATATATTTGCTGTCTGGACTTCACATTTAAAGCAAACTGTCTTTGTGGTGGTTAATTTATATTTATATTTCTAGTTATATTTCTAGTTATAGTTATATAGATTTTTGTATATTTAAATAAATATTTAAATATTATATACTGTATATACTATTTGTCTTTATATTTGAAATATAATGTATTTCTATTACTTCTCTTTATTATCTTTATATTTTTATGGTTTTATATTTATATTTGCTGTCTGGACTTCACACTCACCATGGGTGCTTGGAATTCTCTTTATTCCTAGAATTGCCATGAGCTTGAAAAAATGGATCTGGAAGAGTGTGTCCAGGTAGGAATGCTACCTCAGGCTGTTTCTCTTGCAGCAGTGTGGAAAATTGGTGGAAAATTAAGAGATTTTCTCCAAATCAGAATTTAATTTGGAATCCTGAGTGGGAAGAGTGGCTGGATTTGGGAAGGAAAATGCTGGGAATGAGGTTTTGTCCATGGGAACGGTGCTGTAAATAAGAAGTATTTAATAGTGAGAGATCCTGGGTCAAATAATGGATTTTTGAGAGAAAATCCAGATTTTTGGGGGGAAATCCTAGAGAAAAATCTTATCTTGCTAAAAAATAATGGAATGACACCAGCCCAGGCAGGAAGGGATTGGGAATGAACTCTAAAAATGGAGAAGCAAAGCTGAGCCAGGGCACAGATCCATCCCAGGCAGCTCCTGTGGGGGTTTGGGATTGGGAATATTGGGAATCTTTGTAGGGATTCCTGCTTCCTTAGGAAAACCAGGAGCTGGGCAGGGCACAGATCCCTCCCAGGCAGCTCCTGTGGGCTCTTGGGACTGGGAATCTTTGTAGGGATTCTTTCTTCCTGAAGAAAACCAAGAGCTGGGCAATCTGTAGGGGATTGAGGGAATGTGAGCCCTCCTTGTCCTTCCAGAGGAACATCTGGGACACATTTGGGAGCTGATTTCAGCTCCCTAAGGAGTTTAAAAACAATCCAGTGATGCCTGTGCATCCCAATTCTCCAAGGGCAGGAGGTGATTTCCATGAGAAGGTGGATTCCTGAGGAACTGTGGGGAAATCTCATGGATTAGGGAAAATCCTGCAGTTTTGCTTTGGTAGGAGAGAAAAAAAAAAACCCAAATCCTTGTGCCCAGCACCAACATGAAAGGGCTTTTCCTTCTTTTCCAGATTACAGACAGCACACTAATCCAGCTTTCCATACACTGTCCACGGCTGCAGGTCCTGGTGAGTATCCCAAGGGACACTTCCAGCATTTCCTTTCTCCAAACAAAGAGATTTTAAGAGTTGGAAGAATTCTGCTGCAAACCTGACCCTGAGGAACCTCTTATCCCTTCCCTCCTGCTCACAGGAATCCCACCCCAGGCCCCCACAGGGAAAGGGTTGTGGGGATTCTCCCAGGAGCAGAATTCCAAGTGGGATCTGCCTGCACAGGAGCTGTCAGTCTGTCTGTGGGACAGGAACCTGCAGGGCAGCCAGGAGCTGGAGTGCTCAGGGCTGGAACTCTGGGAGTTTGGTCTCTGTCACCCCCTGGGTTGTGCCATGAGGGATGCTGTCCTGGGAGGTGTGGGGATGTGGGTTCTGCAGTGCAGCCATCCCTCAGGAAAGCCAGTTCCAGCTCCTGGCCCAGGCCCTGCTTCCTCCTCGAGGACTTTCCAGGTGAATCCCCCTGAAAATCCACACCAAGGGGGGGCCATCGTGTTCCTGCTGCTGCTTGGAGCTGGGCCAGGGTCCTTCCCACAGTGGGTGAGGCCACAGGTGTCCCAAAGGTGGGTTCTTGCATAGCTCAGCTCTGCTGGAATTTCTGTGTCACCCTGGGGGTCTCATCCCTCCAGAGCTGCATTCCCCTGGAACCATGGAAGGAGCCCTCAAGATCATCCTGTTCCCATGGGCAGGGACACCTTCCACTACCCCAGGGTGCTCCAAGCTCTGTCCATCCTGGCCTTGAACACTTCAGGGATCTGGGGGCAGCCACAGCTGCTCTGGGCACCCTGTGCCAGGGCCTGCCCACCCTCCCAGGCAGGAGTTTTCCCCCTGCAGCTGGAAGTTGGAGCTGGAAGCACATCACTCCTCAGAAACCCACAGAGCCCAGGAGCGAGCACAGAATTTTAATTCTATTGGTCAAGGTCTTCCTTTACAAAAATGGGCTCTAAATCAGGTGTGTGTGCAGAAATAATCACAGAAAATCTGGGCTGGGAGAGAAGCAAGGCAGGAAACACCTCACACCATCAGGCCTCTCCCCACATGAACCTGCTCAGGAGAGAGGGGAAACTGATGGGAAACCAGATAAACACTAAAATGGAAGTGGAAACTGGTCCTTCCAGTGCTTGTATCACATTCCTGATAAGCCAGAAGTGTTTCCTCCACTCCAGGAGGAACAAGGATTGGGCAGGGTGAGGCAGGAGGCTTTAATGGTGTGGTGGGCTCTGATGCCTCAGGAAATTGGGCACAGCCCAGACCAGCCCACCACGGACCACCCTCCCATCCCCATCGAGGCTGTTTTTTGGGAGCTGGGTTTAACCCCTGTCTTTGGGGACAGAGTTTATCCCACTGCGAGCTGATCACGGACGATGGGATCCGTCACCTGGGCAACGGCGCCTGCGCCCACGACCGCCTGGAGGTGATCGAGCTGGACAACTGTCCCCTGATCACCGACGCCTCCCTGGAGCACCTCAAGAGCTGCCACAGCCTGGAGAGGATAGAACTGTACGACTGCCAGCAGATCACGCGGGCCGGGATCAAGAGACTCAGGGTGAGCTGGGATGGGGAGGAGCTGGGATGAGGAGGGTTTGTCCATCGGGAGGGGTTATTCATGGGGAGGAGCTGGGGTGGGGAGGGTTCATCCATGGGGAAGAGCTGGTGTGGGGAGGGTTCATCCATGGGGAGGAGCTGGGATCGGAGGGTTCATCCATGGGGAGGAGCTGGGATCGGGAGGGTTCATCCATAGAGAGGAGCTGGGATCGGGAGGGTTCATCCATGGGGAGGAGCTGGGATCGGGAGGGTTCATCCATAGAGAGGAGCTGGGATCGGGAGGGTTCATCCATAGAGAGGAGCTGGGATGGGGAGGGTTCAGCCATGGGGAGGAGCTGGGATGGGGAGGGTTCATCCATAGAGAGGAGCTGGGATCGGGAGGGTTCATCCATAGAGAGGAGCTGGGATCGGGAGGGTTCATCCATGGGGAAGAGCTAGGGTAGGGAGGGTTCATCCATGGGGAGGAGCTGGGATCGTGAGGGTTCATACATGGGGAAGAGCTGGTGTGGGGAGGGTTCATCCATAGGAGGGGTTTATCCACAGGGAGGAGCTGGTTTGGAGGGGGTTTATCCATAGGGAGGAGCTGGGATGGGAAGGAGCTGGGACGGGGGAGGATTCATCCACAAGGAGGAGCTGGGATCAGGAGGGTTTATCCACAGGAAGAGCTGGGATCCAGAGGGTTCATCCACAAGGAAGAGCTGTTTTGGGGGCGGGAGTTTATCCATAGGGAGGAGCTGGGGTGGGGAGGGTTCATCCATGGAGAGGGTTTATCCATAAGGAGGAGCTGGGATGGGGAGGGTTTATCCATGGGGAGGGTTCATCCACAGGGAGGAGCTGGGATCGGGAGGGTTTATCCATGGGGAGGGTTCATCCACAGGGAGGAGTTGGGATCGGGAGGGTTTATCCATGGGGAGGGCTGAGCTGGCAGAGTTCCCATCACCTCGTGCTCCTGCTCAAAGGCTGAGAACCATCGGTGGTGGGTTTGGAGTCATGGAAAGGTGGAATGGTTTGTGTTGGACACTTCCCACTACCCTGGGTTGCCTGGGACACTTGCAGGGATGCAGGGGCAGCTTCTCTGAGCACCCTGTGCCAGGCCTCCCCCCCTCACAGGCAGGAGTTTCCTCCCCTCCTACATCACTTTCTCCACGTGTAAAAGAAGAGTAATGATAACATTTTCCCTGCCAAGACAACATGGATCTGCAAAGTTACACCATAAAATGACAGAATCTTTAGGTGATTTGGGTTTGAGAAAGCCCAACCAGGGACCTTCCACTACCCCAAACTGCTCCAAGCCCCATCCAACACTTCCAAGTGGAATGAGGAGCCTCCCTGTGCCCTGTGCGGGGTGACCCCAGCCGTTCCCCATCCCTGGTGGCTCGGGGCGTGTCCCTGACTGCTCCTGCCGTTTGCCCTTGCAGACCCACCTGCCCAACATCAAAGTCCACGCCTACTTCGCCCCGGTGACCCCCCCGCCCTCGGTGGGCGGCAGCCGACAGCGCTTCTGCAGATGCTGCATCATCCTATGACACTGGAACCTCCTCCCGGCAAAGGGGGCTGGAGCCACGCCCGGGCAGCTCCGGGCACGCCAGAACCTCGGGGACAGCGATCCCAGTGTCATTGCCAGGGCCAGTGAGCAGGGCTGGGCTGCCCTGCAGCCACCCACACACCCCCTGTGATCCCGGCGGGATGAGGGACTGGGGATGGAGCTGCAGCTGGGCCGGCTGTTCCCGGGGTGGATTGGCCTGATCCTGAACCGTTCCTGCTGGGAATTGCTGGGAATAGCCCAGGGGAGGGCTCCCAGCCTGGAGGGACTGATGCTGCTGGTGAGGTTGGAAAAGGAACAGAGATCTTGGAAGTGGGGAGAGGGGAGAGGAGAGGAACACGCTGGAACCCCGTTGTGCAGAAGGAAAAACCCCAACAAACCTGAAAGCCCCAACAAACCTGAAAACCCCAAAAAACCTGAAAGCCCCAACAAACCTGGAAGCCCCAAAAAACCTGAAAGCCCCAACAAACCTGGAAGCCCCAAAAAGCCTAAAAACCCCAACAAACAAGTTCCATGTCCATTTGTCAGTGAGGGAATGAAACAGCAGCTGCTCAGCCAGGAATTCCCTGGGGTTCAGGATTTCCCTGGGATCCAGAATTTACCTGAGGTCCCAGATTTCCCTGGGATCCAGGATTTCCCTGTGGTCCAGGATTCCCCTGTGCTTCCCTGCTCCCACCTGAGCATGCTCACATGAAGGTTCATCTTCCCTGTGTCAGAGGCTTCCCAGATTCTTCCCAGATTGTTGTGATAGACCTTGGAATTTCTAATGCCACTTTTTTTTTCCCCAATTCAGTAATTTCTTGAGATTTCCCAGCCCAAAGCCACAAATCCTTAAGGAATTTTCTCCCAGGAGAAGCCTGAGCCTGTGGTGAGCTGTCAGGAAGATTTTAAAGGAGCTTGGGAAGCTGCACCCCAGGCTGGGTTCTCCTGGCCTGTGTGATCAGGGATTGGGTGTCCAAATTTATCCCAAATCCAGGTTTTACCCCAATGACAAGGATACAGCTCTCCATACAGGGAATAATATATATACAAATATATAATTCTCAGTACAGGGAGGAAGTTCCAGCCCGTGTTCCGACTGAGTTCCCTCCTCCTGTCCTTCCCCTCCATCCTTCCCCCAAGGAAAAGCCAAGTAGAGCTTTTTGTTTGTTGCCCTGATGAAGAATTAAGGATTCCCTGACGGAGCAGGGCTGGGATCCAGCCTCAGTCCCCGTGGGGGCCCTTCCTGCCCTCCCCACCTGCCCAGGTAAGTGTGCAGCCCTGCAGGGAGCCCCGGGATGGGGTTTGGACGTGCCAGGCCCAGCTCTGGGGGAGGTGGGGGGTCCGTGGCTGCTTTTTTGGGGTGTTTCAGGCTCCAGGGGAGCCCGGACTGAGCGAATTCCAGGGCTCAGTGTGGAGCTGCTGGGCAGATCCCAAGGGTTTGAGGGGCAGGGCTGGTCCGTGGGAGCCGTGTCCGTCGTTTCCGCTGTCCCTGCGGGGAGCTCGGGGCTCCCTGCTCCCCTGGAGCCAGGGGCTGGGCTTCCCCCTGCTGCTGAGCAATCTCCTGGTGGGGAAAGAGCAGCTGCAGCACCAGGAATGGATGTTTTAGGGGCTGGAGGGGGGGGTTTTCCCACCAGGAATTCCAAGGACAATGCGCTGTTCCCAGCAGGAGGGTCCCAGGCGCCCCTGGAGCTGCACCCCTTCATCTCCCCCAGCCCCCCCAGTCTGTGCTCACTCTGCTGGGAGCAACTCCAGGCTGCTGTGGTTAAAAGGATACTGTCAATGCCCTCCTGTAGACGGCTTTTAATCCCTTATATTTATTCAAATCCTCTTTAGCGCTGTGGATTCTCCCCCTCTCCTCGGGCGCCTTCATTTCCAGAACTTTCTCCAGGTTTCAGGGTGGCAGAAGATGGTGGTGACAGACTGGATGGGCGAGGGGTCACCCAGCAATCACAGGATTTGCACAACTCTGGGAAAATAAAAAACAAACAAAAAAAAAATAAAAACACTTTTGTTTAGTTCCTACTGTGGCAGGGGAGAGCGAAGAGCAGGATTTTGGCTGACTGATCCCTTTGTAACAGAGCAGAGTTTTCCAGGGAAAACTCCAGAACACAGAACCCAAAGCAATTTATTTTCTGTTTGCAGACCAGGGTGACAGCATTAAGGTAGCTCAAACTTCTTGACAGTGTCCTTTTAAGTCAATTATCCGTCTTCAAATGGACTCTTCCTGATGTTTATATTTATAAATACCAATAAACACCATTTTCCAAGCTGTGTCTCGCTGGGGGAATCACTTGGTGGAGGAAAATCCACCTCCTGCATGGGGCAGCTGCTGAGGGGGGAGCTCTGAGTGTTTGCATGGAGTCAGGAATGGTTTTTGGGGGTGGGAGGAGCTCAGAGCTCATCCAGGGGCTCCTTCCGTAGCCTGGGCTGCTCACAATGTGCAGGAATTGCTCCATCCTGGCCTTTCTGAGGGGGCTCTGGGACAGCTCCAGCCCTGGCTGAGGATCCCATCCCATCTCCAAGCTCCCTCCCTGTGCCAAATCCCCTTCTCCAGCCTGTGCTGGGGCAGCTCCTCCAGTTTCAGCCCCTGAGCTGTTCCCTGTCCTTGGAATCCTGCGTGGAGCAGGGGCTGGGCTGTCCCCACCTCCCAGCAGAGGTTTCTGGAGCCTGGATCTGCCTTCCAGCACCTTCCAGCTGCCCCTGGACTCCCCACAGGAGCAGGGACCTCTCCAGGAAGCAGCCTGGGGTAGAAGATCCTCCAGGGGGGCTGAGCAGATCCAGTGAAATCAAAAAAGAGAATTTTCTGGGCCTTGGAGACACTGCAGCACCTTTTATCCCAATTCTGTGACACGGGGTGAGGGTGGGGCGGGTGGGAAGCGCTGTCACAGGGGTTGTTTCAAACCAACAAATTCCATTTTTTGCACATCTCTGTAATTCTCTTTGTATTTCTGTTTGATTTCCTCTCTGTTGTTCATGGCTGGCTGCTGCCCTGGGTTTTGGGGTAATTTTGAGGTTTTTTTGGTAGAATAGGGGTGGATTTGGCTCAGTGTGACATCTTTGCTTCAGTGTCCTGGAAAATGTCCTAAAACATTTTGACTTTTTCTGGTGAAGGGTTGTGTGCTTGATGGGCCTGCGGGTGTTTTGGGGGATTTAATCCATTTTGTTTTCTTTTCTGGCATCCAGGTCAAGGTTTCTGCCCTCCCTCTGTGCCAAAGCCTGGCAGAGGCTCCTGTGCTGCAGCCTGGGGGATGTGGGGCTGAAATGATGGAGAAAATCAAGGAGAAGCTGCTTTTCCTCCTCAATTCCCCTTTGTTCTCCCCTGGGCCCTGCAAGGACCCACCCTGGGAGTGTCACCAGTGTCCCCTCACCTCCTTGTCCCTGTCCCTGCCCCGTGGCTCTGACTGACCTCACATGGAAACCTGGAGCTGATTTTTTTAAGGGATGATGGAATCCATCCCCTGCTCCCACCCATCCCTGCCCCGGGCTGGGAATGTCACCCTGTGCCAGCAGTGCCACACTCGGGGCTCTTTGTGCTTCATCTCTGTCCCCAAAGGTGCAGCTGAGCCCCCCCGGCGGTCCCCAGGGGCTGTGAGCCCCCTCCCCTGCGCCACTCCCATTCCCCTGTCCCCTTCCCTCGGGGGCTGTGACACTTTTTGGCTCGGGGGTGTCCTGGTGGCTGCTGGGGCTGGACAGAGGAGCTGGGGGACAGAGAGCGGGGAAATGTCCCGTGAATGAAATGCTGTGGCTGTGCTTGTCCCGGCACTGCGGGTGGGACAGCGCCTTGATCTGGGAGTTAATTATAAATGCACCTGGTTAATTAAGGTGGCTCTGTGACACCGCGGGCCATCCCTGCGGGGTGGGGACACAGGGGACAGTCAGAAAGGGCTGGTGGGACTCTGGATCCCCATGGAGTGTTTTTGGGAGGGTCGGGGATGTCCCCTTGTCCCGTCCAGCGATGGGTCCAGAGCCCCGTGTCCTCCTCTTGTCCCCGTGTCTGTGATGGCAGCTCCGGGCCGGGGCTGTCCCAGCTCCTCCCGGTCCTCCTCTTCCTCCTCTTCCTCCTCTTCCTCCCCTGCTCCCGTTTTGTTTATCCCACTCCCGTCCTTTGCCCCAGGAATTCTCTCCCAAGGACGTCCCGGTCCCGCTCCGCCGGCTCGAGAAGGATTCGGTGTTTGGAACAATCCGTTCCCGACCGGGCTGAGGCGACACCGGCCGGTTCTGTCCCCGCACCCCAAATCCACCCTGGGGACCCCAAATCCCGGCGGGCGCCGCAGGGACGAGGCCGAGCTCGGGGCCGCTCCTTTAATCCAAAGCGGGGACACGGAGGAGGACACGCGGGGGACAGGACAGGTCCCATCCCCTCGGGCGGGCTCTGGGGACTGTGCCAGCCCCGGGCTCCTCTCTCTGTCCCCAGCGATGTCCCTTCCCAGGGTCGCTCCTACCGCAGCAGCAGCTGGAAGCCGTCGGGGCCGGGGGCTGCGGGGGGACGCGGCTCAGCCGGGGCCACCGATCGCCCCCTGCCCGCCCGGGACCCCCGGTACCTTTGCCGATCGCCACCACGAAACTCGTCTCGTCCTGGAGGTTCCTGATCATCTGCGGGGCAGAGGGGGAGCTCAGGGGAGCTGGGACCCTCCTGCTCCAGCACTGGGGACCCCGAGGGGCCGGGGCGGCTGCGGGGTCTGTCCCTCCCGTCCCCGGCTGTCACCGTGTCCTCACCGCGTCGCTGACGAGGACGTGGATGCCGGCGGGTCCCTGCCGGGAGAGCCGCAGGATCTGCCCCGGGGGCAGCGCCAGCAGCTCCGCCAGCTTCGAGGTGAGCTCGGCCACCGTCAGCTGCTCCAGGTGCAGCTCCTGGTACAGCCCTGGAGAGGAGGGGATGGGGATGGGATGGGGATGGGGATGGGGATGGGTGCCCATCCCTGGGCTGCCGCACACCTGAGCCCCCTCCCCGCACACCTGAACCCCCTCCCCCCCCACCCGAGCCCCCCCCTCCCCGCACACCTGAGCCCTCCTCACCTGCTCCCGCATCCTCCGCACTCTCGGCCCCGCCGGGCTCCCGCGCCACGTACAGGGTCAGCCGGGGCCGCGGGCACCTGAGGGGGCACAGAAGGCTCTGGCGGGGGGCCAGGATGAGGCCGAGCCCCAAGGAACCTCCCGGGGGTCCCCAAAAAGCGGCAGCGGGGGCGCGGGAGCCTCACCTGCCCGCCAGGGCGTGGCAGAGGCGGATGCCGTCGGGGGCTCCGCAGATCTGGATCAGGTCCCTGCGGGAGAGCTTCAGCAGATCCGCGCCTGCTGACAGGGGGGCTCAGGGGGCGGCAGAAGGGGGGGCCCGGCTCTGCCCCCCAGCCCGGCCCGGGCTCTCACCGCTGAAGTTGGCGAAGACGCGGGCGCAGGAGGAGAAGCGGCGCCGGAGCAGCCACTGCTGCGTCTCCAGGGGGGATGCGCAGGGGCTCAGCGCCTGTGGGGGCTCAGCGGGGGCTCAGCGGGGCACGACCCGAGCGGGCACAACCTCAGCCCCCCCTGGGGAGCCGGGGGAGGCTCTGGGGGGCTCAGCGGGGGCTCAGCGGGGCACGACCCGAGCGGGCACAACCTCAGCCCCCCCTGGGGAGCCGGGGGAGGCTCTGGGGGGCTCAGCGGGGGCTCAGCGGGGCACGACCCGAGCGGGCACAACCTCAGCCCCCCCTGGGGGGCCGGGGGAGGCTCTGGGGGGCTCCCTCACCTCGCCAGGACTCTCCGCGGGGCTCTCGGCAGCGCAGGCAGGTGACAAGCACACCCTGCGGGGGGGGAGGGCTTAGAGGGGGACCCCAGAATTGCGGAAGGGGGGTCCAGGGGTCCCCGCTCACCTCTCAGGGCTCAGCAGCTTGAAGGGGTGCGGGGAAGGCAGCCCCGGGGTGCCCGGGGGGGTGTGGGGGGCACCCAGCGCGTCCGGCCACGGGGGGCACTGAGGAGGAAGGGGGTGATGGGGGCAGGGTCCCGGGGGCACCCTCGGCCCACGGGGGGTGCCAGGGCCGAGCCCCACCTCGGCCAGCACGGTGCTCTCGTAGGCCGGCTGGAATTTCTCCCTCTCCGCCGCCGGCTGCTTCTCCACCTTCTCCCGGTCCGTCTTCTGCTTCCTATCGGCCCCCTTGGGCTGTGCCGGGGCGTGAGGGCGGCCTCGGGACCCCCCGGGACCCCCGCGGGTACCCGGACCCTTGGGGTGCCCAGACCCCGCCATGCACCCACCCCCCAGCCCAGAGGTGGATCTCCCGGTAGTGGGGGGGCACTGGGAGCACTGGGGGCACTGGTTTCCCCCCACCCCCCGATACCTTGAACACCTTGACCAGGCAGCTGGCGGAGTGCAGGTGCTCGGGGGGGTCCCCCTTGCCCCCCGCCCCGAAGGTGTCGATCTGGATGCGGAAGGGGACCCCCTTCTCCCCCCCGTTCTTCCTCAGCGTGAACTCGGTGCTGATGCAGTGAACCTGGGATGAGGTGGGGGAACAGCGGGGTCGGGACCGGGCGCTGTGAGCCCTCCAGGACCCCCCCGAGCCCCCCAAAACCCCGCCCAGGCCTGGCTCCCACCTGCACGAACACGGATGTGCGTCGGGAGGGGTCCCAGAGGAATTCCACCGTGTTGAGCAGCGTGGGGTGGATTTGGGGTTCCAGGATCCCGACGGAGAGGGGGATGTCTGCAGAGCGGGGTCAGCGCGGCCCCTGCAGCCCCCCCGGGCCCCCCCCAGCCCCGGCACCCACCGATGTCGAGGATCCGGTCGCCCGGGCGGCTCCAGCGCCAGCCCTCGAGCTGCTGCTGCTCCGAGTACTGGAGGCGGCGGTCGTGGAAAACCACGCGGAGCACGCTCTGGACAGGGGCGGCCACGGCCACGGCCACGGCCTGAGCCACGGCCACGGCCCCGCCGGACACTGGGGCTGAGCTGGGGCTGGACTGGGGTTGGACTGGGGCTGAGCTGGGGATGGACTGGGGCTGGACTGGGGTTAGACTGGAGCAGAACTGGACTGGGGCTGAGCTGGGGATGGACTGGGGCTGGACTGGGGTTGGACTGGAGCAGAACTGGGGCTGAGCTGGGGATGAACTGGGACTGAGCTGGGGCTGGACTGGGGCTGAGCTGGGGCTGCACTGGGGCAGAACTGAGGCTGGACTGAGGCTGAGCTGGGGCTGAACTGGGGATGAACTGAGACTGGACTGGGGATGAACTGGGGCTGAGCTGGGGGCTGGACTGGGGCTGAGCTGGGGCTGAGCTGGGGATGAACTGGGACTGGACTGGGGATGAACTGGGGATGGACTGGGGATGGACTGGGGCTGGACTGGGGATGAACTGGGGCTGAGCTGGGGCTGGACTGGGGATGGACTGGGGCTGAGCTGGGGCTGGACTGGAGCAGAACTGGGACTGGACTGGAGCAGAACTGGGGCTGGACTGGGGCTGCACTGGGGCAGAGCTGGGGCTAGCTAGACTGGAGATGAACCAGAGCAGAGCTGGGGTTGGACTGGGGCTGGGCTGGAGCTGAGCTGGGGCAGAACTGGGGCAGAGCTGGAACGGGACTGTGGTTGAGATGGGGCTGAACTGGGGCAAAATTGGGGCTGGACTGGATAGGACTGGGGCTGAAATGAGGCTGAGCTGGGGCTCAGATGAGAACTGGGTAGAACTGGGTCTGGACTGGGACTGAGAGGAGGCAAAACTGGGTCTGGACTGGGACTGAACCGGGTCTTCAGCCCAGAGCTTTGCCCCGAGGCTCCCCCACGCCCCCTCCCCGCTCACCTTGACCATCCTGCGGCCCTCGGCGGGGTCCCCCCGGGGCGTCCCCATCATGCGGATCTCGTAGGATTGCCCTGGGGGAGGGGGCCGGGAGCGGGAGCTGAGCCCTCAGCGTGGGGGTCCCGCCTCCCCGGCGCCCCCAGACTCACCCTGGTTGAGGTAGGTGAGGGTCTCCTCGTGGTGCCGCACGGCCGGGGAGGTCGGGGCACACAGGATGTACTGGAAGGGCGGCAGCGATGTGGAGATGCCGTTGGGCTCCTCCTGCTTCAGGTAGGGCAGGACCGGGGGGTCCCTGAGGGAAAACACCCCCCGAGAAGGGTGGGAGCTCGGCCGTGCCTCAGTTTCCCCAAACCCAGCGGATTTGGGGGGTACCTGAGCACCCCCGAACTGGGCAGGGGGTACATGTCCCCAGGGCTGGACCAGCAGTGGTCGGGTTGGCCGTGCCAGAAGAGCATGGTGGGGGGAGCAGGGGGGACACCCCACAAAGCAGAGGGTGACAGCAGACAGGGACAGGTGGGTGGCCCCACCCCCATTTTATAGGCACGGGGAGGGCGATGTGAACGGGGCTGGGCCCAGTTTGGCCCAGTTGGGACCAGTTTGGGGTGTTGACAGTAAACACTGGGGAGGGAGGGGCACCGTTTGCTGTCAATAGAATGGGGGGGACATCAGAGCTCCCCCAGTCCCTTTGTCCCAGCCAAACCCCCCTTGTGTGTCCTGCCACCACCCCCCTTTTAACCCCTTTAATTTCTGCCAGGTTTGCTCTTTTTGGGCAGAAAAAGGGTGTTTGCTAAGCCCCCAGTGTGGGGGGGTCAGTGGGTGCTGTGTTCCCCACTCGGGTGTTGGGGTGTCAGATTTGAGGAGGGGGTCTATGGGTGCTGTCCCCCCTCATGGTGACACTGGGATGTGACACGGGGGTGTCACACACATGGGGGGGTCACACACGGACCCATCACTGATGAGCTGGGAGGGTCTCAGCTCCATTTTGGGGTGGGGGGGACCCTCCCCAGCTTATTAAACCCCCCCAGGTGGGCCCAGAGCCCATCCAGGCCCTGTCTGTCTGTCTGTCTGTCCAGCCATTCCCAGTGTGGGATCGGGCTGGCAAGGAGCTGCTGAGGGAGTTTGGGTGTCCCCCAGCCCCTCAGCTCCTCCCTGAGCCTTTGGGGGGGTTCAGGGGGTCCCCTGTGCCCGGGGCTGTGGGGAAGGGTCCCCCAGAGGGACCCCCAGCAAGTCGCCATCCCCTCCCCGCTGCAGACACGGAGACTCGGTGGGAAGAGTCCGGGATGTTTTATTGGAGGCCCGGGGATGGAACAGGCTGGGAGCAGGGGACAGCCCGAGGTCACTTCTTGGCCTCCTCCTCCTTGGACAGGGTTTTGATGATCTCCTCCTTCTTGGCCTGCAGCCGCTCCTCCCGGCGCTTCCGCGCCTCCTTGGTCTTGGAGCGCCGCGCTTCCGCCTGGTCCCTGCGGGGTCGGGGCCGTCAGGAACCCGGGGCAGCCCCAGAACAGCCCCAAACTACCCCAGAACAGCCCCAAACCACCCAGAAACAGTCCCACAACACCCCAGAAACAGCCCCAAACCACCCCAGAAACAGCCCCACAAAACCCAAAATCACCCAGAACAACCCCCCAACACCCAGAAACAGCACCAAACCACTCCAGAAACAGCCCCACAACACCCAAAATCACCCAGAGCAGCCCCAAACCACCCAGAACAGCCCCTCAACACCCCCAACAACCCCACATCACCCTGCCCCACAACCCCACAGCACCTGACCCCTGTCCCCATCTCCCTGGGCCCTGCTGCCCCACAGCAGCAGCTGCTTTGGGGTCACGTGTCTCTGTTGAACCCCAGAGTGACGAGATTCAGCTTTTCCCCCCAAGGACACAGCGGGATTTTGCAATCCCTCCCCTCCCCTGGTCAATCATTCACCCACTGCAGCAGTGATCAGGAATCTCCCAGTTCCCACCTGAGGAAAACCCCACCACAACCCCACATTTCCCTGCCCAGTTTGGGATCAATTCCTCCCAGAACCCCCCTGGAATGACCCACAGGGAGGGGATTTATTCCTGACAATCCCTCCTGCCTGCAGGACTTACGCCAGGAGCTTCTTGCGGGCTTTGTCGGCCTTCAGCTTGTGGATGTGCTCCATGAGGATCCGCTTGTTCTTGAACACGTTGCCCTTGACCTTCAGGTACAGGCTGTGGTACCTGTGGGGCACAGCGGGGTGGGGACATCAACACCTGCCTGGGAGCACTGGGATGGACTGGGAGCACTGGGATTAGGGGATGTTCCCACCCTGCTGGCAGAGTGGGAAGTGCAGGGCCAAGGATTCAGGGCTCACCCCAGCCCTTGCTGGGAGAACTGGACCTGTCCAGGGACTGCTCTGGCCCATACTGGGAGCGCTGGCCCTGTGCTGTGCCTAACCCTAACCTGCCTTCCTGAGGCTGGGGTTGCCCAGGGAATGGCTGTGGTTGCCCAGGCCATGGCTGGGGTTGCCCAGGGAGGGCTAGGAATGGCCAGGATTGCCCAGGGAATGGCCAGGGTTGCCCAGGGAGGGCTGGGAATGATCAGGGCTGCCCTGAGAATAGCCAGGGAATGGCCAGGGTTGCCCAGGGAGGGCTAGGAATGGCCACAATTGCCCAGGGAATGGCCAGGATTGCCCTGGGAGGGCTGGGAATGATCAGGGCTGCCCTGGGAACTGCCAGGGAATGGCTGGGGCTGCCCAGGAAATGGTTGGGATTGCCCAGGGCATGTCCAGGCTTGCCCAGGGCAGGTGGCACAGGGCTCACATGTGGCGGTCGATCTTCTTGGACTCGCGGTAGCGCCGCAGCAGCCGCCGCAGGATCCGCATGCGCCGCATCCAGGTGACCTTCTCGGGCATGCGGGCGTTGGCCGTGCCCTTCCTCTTGCCTGGAGGGGGGGAATGGGGTGAGAGGGAGCCCCAAATTCCTGCCAGCTCAACCCCACCCTCATCCCAAAGGTTTCCATCCTCCCCTTCAGCTCAAAGAAACAACCGCTGGCACAAGGCAGGGGTTTCCTGCAGCCCAAACCCAGGAGGTGATTCCCAGGGTGAGGGAGCAGCAGGAGCTGTGGGAGGTGGGGAATTCCCCATTCCCAGGGGATGAAGCACTCAGTTCCCCCATCCCCAGGGGCATGGGACACTCCTAGATGTGGATTCCCCCATTCCCAGGGGCACAGGGCACTCAATTCCCCCATCCCCAGGGGATGCAGCACTCCCTAATGTGGATTCCCCTACTGTCAGGGGGATGCAGCACCCCAGATGTGGATTCCCCCATTCCCAGGGGCATACAGCACTCCCTGATGTAGAGTCCCCCATTTCCAGGGGCACTGGGCACTCTCCGATGTGAATTTCCCCCAGTCCCAGAGGGAACCCCCACTTTAGCTCCCTCAGGGACCCGTGACCCCCCTTTCGGGACCATCACCCTCCCCTGGGAGGATCCTCACCTCCACCAAGGGATACTTCGCTCCCCTTAGGGACCCTCACCCACCCTCAGGGTACCCGTCACCACCTCAGGGTCCCGCATCGCCCCTCACGGGACCCTCACCCCCCTCAGGGACTCTGCCCCCCGCCCCTCAGACCCCTCCTCACGCCCCTCAGGTTCCCGGCCCCACCTCCCCAAACACCCCGCGCTGCTCCAAAGGGTTCATCCAAGGTCCGCAGTGCCCCAGAGCAGCGCCCCTACCCCGCTCAGCGCCCCCAGACCCCACTCGCGCCCCCCCGGCCCCTCAGCGCGGCCATGGCGCCCTCCGCCATTTTCCTGCCAGGCCCCAGGAGGCCGCGGCCGCCTCACAGCGCCCGGGGCCGTCATCCAGCACTGCCCGGGCGCCGCCCCGGTTCTGAGGAGACTTCCCTGCTGCCCTCCAGCCCTCCCCGGTGCCTCCCGACCCCCATTCTCCCCCGAGCAGCGGCCGCAGCCCCACTCCCACCTCATGGCGGCGGCAGCGCCGGGGCCGGAGAGACGCAGCGGCGGCGCTGACCCCGCCCCCTGGGTGCGGCACGTACCACCGCACTCTCCCCCCCGCGCCCTTTCCCGCGGCCTTGCCGCGGCCCGAAACGCAGTGAAGGAGCAACCGCCATGAAATCATGCGTGGCCGCTCATCTAAAGGACCGAGACCCACGCGGGATACGTGGGAGAGAGGTGGAACCTTCCCGGCTCCCCCCTCGGCTATAGAGGGATGGTACCGCCCGCGCGTGCGTGGCGGGAAGGGCTGGGCGAGGGCTGCGCATGCGTGGTGGGAGCGTGGGAGGCACGTGGAGGGAGCGCTGGGAGGGACTGGGAGACTGGGAGGGACTGGGATGGAACGGGGCGGGCTGGGGTGGACGTGGGTGGACTGGGAGGGACTGGGATGGAACTGGGATGGACTGGGAGGGACTGGGATGGAACTGGGATGGACTGGGAGCACTGGGATGGACTGGGAGGGACTGGGATGGATTGGGATGGATTGGGAGGGACTGGGATGGACTGGGAGCACTGGGATGGACTGGGATAGACCGGGATGGATTGGGATGGAACTGGGATGGACTGGGAGCACTGGGACTAAAGTCACCTGGTTATCCCTGAAAATCACCTGGTGAACCCCCAAAATCACCCAATTGTCCCCCAAAATCACTTGGTTACCCCCAAGATTGCCTGGTTATGCCCTAAAATCATCTGGTTACAGCCCTGAAATCACCTGATTGCTCCCCAAAATCAACTGGTTACCCCCGAAATCATCTGGTGAACCCTGAAATCACCAGGTGAACCCCCAAATCACCTGATTATTCCCTGAAATCCCACCCCCTGAAGTGCCACCAAGGAAGTGCCACCAAGCCCTCTGGAAGTGCCACCAAGCCCTCTGGAAGTGCCACCTTGTGCTTCCCAAGGCCCCCAGGAGGAGGAGAAGCAGCTGAGCCCAAATTTGGGAGGTTTCAGGTCGGGCTGCTGCTGCTGCTGCTGCGTTCCCGGCGCGTTTTCCGAGGAGTTTTCCATCCTTCTTTTGGATTTTTGGGAATATCCGTGCCTGGAGGCTCATGAAGCTCCTCCCGGGAGCCGGGGAGAGGAGGAGGAGGAGGAGGAGGAAGAGGAGGAGGAGATGCCGTGATTGTGCCAATCTCCCGCTTCCACCCCCGGGCACGATCCCGGCTGGAAGAACCCCCCACAAAAAAAAAAAACACAACAAAAAACCCCAAAAAACCCCACCCCAAGAGCCCCTCCAGGGCTTTTATCTCCATCCAGGGCACGGGTGGGGGTCCCTGGGGTGACCCCGAGCCCCCCCGGCTGCTGAGGGAGGGGGGCCGAGGGTGGGAAATGAAAATTCGCTGCCAGCTGTCCCCAGGGGTGGGGACAGGAAAATCCCCTCTGCCCTGGGGACGGGGGGGACAAGGAGGAATTTGGAACTTTCCGACAGCCGGAGGGAGGGGACAGCAGCGAGGGGACACAGCTGGGGACGGGGATTGTCACCAGGGTGGGGGGGGTTGTCCCCAAGGTGCAGGAATTGTCACCAGGGTGGGGGGATTGTCCCCAGGGTGGGGGGAATTGTCCCCAAGGTGTGGGGGATTGTCCCCAGAGTGGGGGGGGGTTGTCCCCAAGGTGGAGAGGATTGTCCCCAAGGTGCTGCCGTGGGGGACAGGGGACACTGCGGGTTGTGGGGGTCCCTCCCTGTGCTCCCCCCGGGGACGTTTTTGGGGGGAAAAGGCGGAATTTTGGGGCAGCCTTGTCCCAGTGGGGTGAGGGGGTCCCTCTTTTTTTTTTTTGGGGGGGGGGTTGTTGCACCCAACGGGAAAGTTTTGGGAATTGGGAAAACTCTTGGGGTGCTCCCCCCGCCCCCCCCGCTTCCCTCGGTTTGTCCCCTCTGGTTTGGGGGGAGCAGGGACAGTCCCCTCGCTGTCCCACAGGGACAGACCCCCTCCCCATCTCTGTGCTATTGGGGGGCACCAATTGAGGAGGGGGGTGACAGTTTTTGGGGTTTTTGGGGGGAAAAGGCGGAATTTTGGGGCAGCCTTGTCCCAGTGGGGTGAGGGGGTCCCTCCCCGGGGTTATTTTGGGGAAAAATCCGGAATTTTGGGGCAGCCTTGTCCCAGTGGGGTGAGGGGGTCCCTCCCCGGGGTTATTTTGGGGAAAAATCCGGAATTTTGGGGCAGCCTTGTCCCGAGCGGGCAGATCGGGATGGGGGTGGGGGTCTCTGTCACATCCCCCCGGCTCTTTTTGGGGTCCCCCCCACCCTAAACCGGGCGGGCAGAGCGCTGGACGGAGGGAGGGGACAGCAGCGAGGGGACACAGCTGGGGACGGGGATTGTCACCAGGGTGGGGGGGGTTGTCCCCAAGGTGCAGGAATTGTCACCAGGGTGGGGGGATTGTCCCCAGGGTGGGGGGAATTGTCCCCAAGGTGTGGGGGATTGTCCCCAGAGTGGGGGGGGGTTGTCCCCAAGGTGGAGAGGATTGTCCCCAAGGTGCTGCCGTGGGGGACAGGGGACACTGCGGGTTGTGGGGGTCCCTCCCTGTGCTCCCCCCGGGGACGTTTTTGGGGGGAAAAGGCGGAATTTTGGGGCAGCCTTGTCCCAGTGGGGTGAGGGGGTCCCTCCCCGGGGTTATTTTGGGGAAAAATCCGGAATTTTGGGGCAGCCTTGTCCCGAGCGGGCAGATCGGGATGGGGGTGGGGGTCTCTGTCACATCCCCCCGGCTCTTTTTGGGGTCCCCCCCACCCTAAACCGGGCGGGCAGAGCGCTGGACCCCCCAAACTCCCCCCAAAACCCCCCCCCCAAAACTCGGGGGGCAGCCCCCGCTGCCGGGGATGCTCCGACCCCCTCCCCCCACAGCTCAGGGGGGGCTCGGGAGATGGGGGCGGGTATTGGGGGGCACCGTGGCGGGGGGGGGGGGGGCCCTGCCCCTAAAAATTCCCACTTGGGGACCCCCCACCCCCGGGCTGGGTGGCAGCTGGGCCCAGCTGTCCCTTGGGGACACTTGGGGGGGTGACAGCCCCCTGCCCCCCAGCGTTTTGCCCCCTTTTATCACCCCCAAAGGGCGGGAGCTGCCCCGGGGTAGGGGTGGGGGGCACTGGGACACCCCCACATCCCCCAGCCAGGAGGGAGGGGGGTCCCGTGGGGGTCTGGGGGGGGTCTCGGGCAGTGGGGTGGTGGAGGGGGGCGTGGTGTCACCCCCCCGGGTGGGCTGCTGGCTCTGCTTTAACTGGCGGGGGGCTGGAATTTGGGGGGGCTGCGACCCCAACCCCAACACGGTGGGGTCTGAGCGGGTTTGGGGTCCCAGCCCCCCAATACTGGGAGAGGGACACCCCCATCCCCTTCCTGAGCCCCCCCGAGTTGGGGTTGGGGTTTCAGCCCCCCCATACCAGGGAAGGGGAGCCCCCATCCCCTTCCTGAGCCCCCCCGAGTTGGGGTTGGGGTTTCAGCCCCCCCATACCAGGGAAGGGGAGCCCCCATCCCCCCCCCGCCCCATCCCGCTCCCCCCGAGCGGGGCTCGCCTGCAGGGCGGGGGTGTTGTGGTTTGGAGCTGGGGGGGGGTTCCGAGCTGCCCCCCACTTTTGGGGGGAGTCTGGGGGGTCCAGCGCTGCCCTGTCGCCCCCTCCCCTGTCCCCAGGGCAAGTACAGCCGGCGCAAGAGCCGCTTCAAGCGCTCGGACGGCAGCACCTCCTCGGACACCACCTCCAACAGCTTCGTCCGCCAGGTGCGGGGGGGCCCGCAGCTTTTTTTGGGGGGGGGTCCCAACTCTCCTTTGTGCCCCGGGGATTGAGGGGGGGGTCACACTGAGCGGGGGTGACTACCTTGGGGTCCCCCGGGAGTTTTGGGGGGTCTGTGGGGTGGGGGTCCAGGGTTCCCTCGGTTCCCCCGGGAGTTTTGGGGGGTTTATGGGGTGGGGAGTGACTCCCCTGGGGTCCCCCGGGAGTTTTTGGGGGGTTTACGGGGTGGGGGGTGACCCCCCCCCAGTGTCCCCTCCATGGGACAGGAGGGAGGGGGTGTCCCCACCGCGGGTTTTGGGGAGGGGTCCCCTCCAGGCTGTGCAAATGAGCGGGGTGACCCCAGACCCCCCAAAGGGACAGATCGGAGCTGGGGGGGTCCCGCAGCCCCCAGGGGCTCTGGGGGGGCTGTAGGGCGCTGGGGGGGGGGATGTCCCACGTGTCACCCACCGCGTCCCGGGGGTGTCCCCGCTGTCCCTCTGGGGCCGGGGGTGAGCAGGGGGTCCCCGAGTCCCCGCACAGCGCCCTGGGGACAGCGCTGGGGACACTCGGGGGGGGTCCCCGCTGCCGTCCCGGCTCTCGGAGCCCCCCCGGGCAGCGGGGCCGGTGTCACGTTCCCGGCCGGAGCGGTGGCGACAGCTGCCGTGTCCCTCTCCTGCCGTGACCCCGCCGTGGTGGCACCGGGGTGGCTCTAGGCAGGACCAGGGTGGCACCGGGCAGCACCGGGTGGCATCAGGGTGGCACCGGGGTGGCTTTAGACAGGACCAGGATGGCACCGAGGTGGCTCTGGGCAGCACCGGGTGGCTTCTGGTGGCACCGGGGTGGCACCAGGCAGGGCTGGGTGACTCCGGGCAGCACCGAGGTGGCACCGGGGTGGCTCTGGGCAGCACCGGGTGGCACCAGGGTGGCACCCAGAGCTCCGGGGCAGCACTGGGGTGGCACTGGGGACTCCAGGTTGGCTCCGGGTGGCACCGGGAGCTCTGGGGTGGCACCGGGGTGGCACCAGGCAGGGCTGGGTGGCTCTGGGCAGCACCGGATGGCTCCGGGATGGCTTCAGGCAGCACTGGGGTGGCACCAGGGTGGCACCGGGAGCTCTGGGGTGGCACCAGGGTGGCTCCAGGCAGCCCTGCTGTGGCACCCAGTGGCTCCCAGTGCCCACAGCGATGGGCACCTCACCAGTGAGGGATCAGAGGGGCCGGAATTTGGGCTGGGCTCACTGCCGGGGGGGGCACGGGCTGGCTGAGCCCCCTCCCCGCTGCGCAGGGCTCGGCCGAGTCCTACACCAGCCGCCCCTCGGACTCGGATGTGTCGCTGGAGGAGGACCGGGAGGCGCTGCGCAGGGAGGCCGAGCGCCAGGCCATGGCTCAGCTGGAGAAAGCCAAGGTGGGACAGCCGGGGTGGACCCCCCGTGCCCCCCAGCCCTGGCACTGGGACCCCTCTGTGCCCCCCAGCCCTGGCACAGGGATCCCCAGTGCCCCTCAGCCCTGGCACTGGGACTCCCCGTGCCCCCCAGCTCTGGTACAGGGAACCCCTGACCTCCCCAGCCCTGGCACAGGGACCCCGTGACACCCCCAGCCCTGGCACAGGGACCCCCCCATGCCCCCCAGCCCTGGCACAGGGACCCCCCTGTGCCCCCCAGCCCTGGCACAGGGACCCCATGACCCCCCCAGTCCTAGCACAGGGACCCCCCAGTGACCCCCAGCCCTGGCACTGGGACCCCCTGGTGCCCCCTGCCCCCTGTCCCGGCCCCCAGGGGCACTGGGAAGGCAGCGGGGTTTACTGGGTGGAACTGGGAGCTGTACCTGCCTGGCTGGGATGGGGTTTACTGGGTAGAATCGACACATTTTGGGATGGAGTCGCCACGTTTTGGGGTGGCAGAGGAGGGGATCTCCTAGTTTTGGGGTGGCAGAGGATGGGATTGCCCCATTTTGGGGCGGCAGAGGGTGGCATCTCCCACTTTGGGTGGAATCTCCCCATTTTGGGGTAGCAGACGGTGAGATCTCCGCGATTTGGGGCGGAATCTCCCCACTTTGGGGCAGAATCTCCCCACTTTGGGGCGGAATCTCCCCATTTTGGGGTGGAATCTCCCCACTTTGGGGGGGATCTCCCCACTTTGGGGTGGCAGAAGGTGAAATCTCCCCATTTTCATGTGGAATCACCTCATTTTCGTGTGGAATCTCCCCACTTTGAGGTAGAATCTCCCAGTTTTGGGGTGGAATCTCCCCATTTTGAGGTAGAATCTCCCCGTTTTGGGGCGGAATCCCCCCGTTTTGGGGCGGCAGAGGGTGGCATCTCCCCTCGGCAGTGCCGGGGGCAGCTGCCCACCCCTGCCCCCCGCCAGACCAAGCCGGTGGCATTCGCCGTTCGCACCAACGTGGGCTACAACCCCTCGGCCGCCGACGAGGTGCCCGTGCAGGGCATGGCCATCTGCTTCGAGCCCAAGGACTTCCTGCACATCAAGGAGGTGGGAGAGGCCCGGGGGGTGGGTGGGGTGGGACTGGGGGGGTTTTAAGGTGTTTTTGCACCCCCTACCTGGGGCAGAAGTGTTGTTGTGTTCGAGGGTCGCAGGGTGAGGGAAGAGATGAGACTCTTGAGGTCGTGTTGGAGAAGGCTGGTTTATGATATGGTGTTGTTTTATGTGGTTATAAAATAGAAATTATGTATATTGTTATATATATATATATAATTACATCATAATTGTATACAATACATATAATATATAATATAATACAATTAATATAATATAATACAATACATATAATATATACAATATATATAATAGATTATCTATATATAGATAATAGATATGGGTATAGATAATATATATAATATTATAGATAATAGATAATATAATTATAGATAATTATATTATAATTATCTATATATAATTATAGATAATATAACAAAATAGATAATATAATATAATAGATAATAGATTAGATATAGATAATACATATAATATATAATGTATAATAGATACAATAGATATATTATATATAATAATATAATATATAGTATATATTATATATTATATTATTATATATCTTATCATTATATATAATATTTTTATAGTATTATAAAATATAAATGGTATATTATTATATGTACAATATTATATGATATTATATGTGTATAATATATTATATATACTATATATAATATTTATATGGTATAATTATATTAAAATAAATATAATATATAATACATAATAAATTTATATAATATAATAATGCACATAATATATAGTGTATAATTAATATATATAATATGTATAATATATTGTATTATTATATTATATTATATTATTATATATTAATATACGATATTATTATTTATTATATTCTATTGTATTAAAAACGCTACACTGCACTAAAAAGAGTAGGGAGAAAGGATTCAACAGAAGGCTGGAAAGGAATGCAATGATAGCAGAAAAACGCTACACTAAAACTGCACTAAAAAGGGTAGGGAGAAAGGATTCAACAGAAGGCTGGAAAGGAATGGAATGATAACGAAAGCTCGTGACTCTCAGAGAGTCCGACCCGGCTGGACCTTTGATTGGTCATTAATTAGAAACAACTCACATGGCCCTGTTGGTAAACAATGCCCACACCACACTCTACATCCACCAGATTATTCACTGTTTACATTTCTTTTCCGAGGCTTCTCGGCTAGAATAGGAGACCAAAAAAAAACCAAAATAATGCTAAATTTCATAAAACCATCCTGGTGGTGGCACAGAAGTACAACAACGACTGGTGGATCGGGCGGCTGGTGAAGGAGGGCTGCGAGGTGGGCTTCATCCCCAGCCCCGTCAAGCTGGAGAACATGCGGCTGCTGCAGGAGCAGAAGATGCGGCAGAGCCGCCTGAGCTCCAGGTGAGGCTCACCCCGACCCCCCCCCGTTCTCCCGGAGCCCCCCATCCCTCCCTCATCGCTCTCTCTGCGCTTCTCCCACGCAGCAAATCGGGTGACAACTCCGGCTCCAGCCTGGATGTGGTGACAGGGACACGGCGGCCCACGCCCCCCGCCAGCGGTAAGGGCGTCCTGGCTCCCCCCCAGCCTGGGGGTCCCTCCCCGGCTCCCCTCGGGTGTCCCCTTTGTCCCCTCCGCCCCGGGTGCAGGCAGGGTGCCCCCGTTCCCCCCGGGACTCTGCTTCTCCTCTTCCACCCTGCCCATCTCCATTTTTGCTTTCTTCCATCGCCATTCTCGCTCTTCTTCTCTCCCTGCCCTCGGCGGCTCGGCGGTCCCCAGGTGGCCTGGACATGCCTAGCTTTGCCTTTGACCCCGATGAGTTAGAGGAGGAGGAGGAGGCCGTGGAGGCGCAGCGCTCCCCTAAGAGTAGCGTGAGCAGCGTCACCACCCCCCCCGCCCACAGCAAGCGCATCCCCTTCTTTAGGAAGGTAACGGCCCCCCCCCGGCCCCGCCTGCTGCACCCCCTGCCTGCCCTAACACTGCCGGGGGGCTGGGGGCACCCAGGGGGGCGCCCCACGGGGCTGGGGGCACCTGGGGCCAGGCGCTGCCCCGGTGCCACAGCACGGGATGAGCCCTGCTCAGGGCACGGTGCGGGGCTGAATCCTCCTGCTGTCAGGGGGATGGATCAGTCCATGGCTGACACCCCCTGCTGTCAATGGGATGGATCAGTCCATGGCTGACACCCCCCTGCTGTCAATGGGATGGATCAGTCCATGGCTGACACCCCCCCGTGGACCATGGAATGGACTAGCCCGTGGTTGTGTTCCCCTCCATGGACTGTGGGATGGATCAGTCCATAGCTGACCCCCCCTGCTGTCAATGGGATGGATCAGTCCATGGCTGACCCCCCCTCCCTCCCCCGGTTGTCCATGAGATGGATCAGTCCGTGCTGTGGTCCCCCTGTGATCCGTGGGATGGATCAGTCCAATCCATCCATGGTGACATTCCCCCATGATCCACGGGATGGATCAGTCCACGGCTGTGATCCCCCCATGGACTGTGGAATGGATCAGTCCATGCCTGACCCCCCTGTTGTCAATGGGATGGACCAGCCCGTGGCTGTGCTCCCCCCCATCCATGCAATGGACCAGTCCGTGCCCCCCCTCCCGGTTGGCTCCCCCCGCAGTGTGCGCATGGTGTGTTCCAGCACGGCCGGTGTCTCACCCCCCCCCCCCCCCCGCCCGGGAGAATGGACCGTTCCTCCCCCCACACTGGGCATTAGCTGGGGGGGGTTTGGGTGCTACCACCGCGCGGGACGGGGGGGTCTGCAGGAGGTCCCAGCTGCCCCCCGAGCCCCGCAGAGCCCCCTTGGCACCCAGAGCTACCCTGGGCTGGGCAGTGCTGGTGTGTCACTGTCCCCAGGGCCCCCCACACGTGTCACCTGAGCACCCCTTGGGGCACACACATGGCTCTGGGGTCACACACCTGGGTCACCCATGTGTCACATTCCAGGTCACACACGTGTCTTTGGGGTGCCCAGGAGGGTCACACGTGACCCTGGGTCACCCTTGAGGGGTCACACCTGGGTCCCTGGGTCACACATGTGTCCCTGGGTCACCCAGCAGGTCACACACGTGTCACTAGGTCACCCTCCAGGTCACACATGTGTCACTGTCCCCAGGGCCCCCCACACGTGTCACCTGAGCACCCCTTGGGGCACACACATGGCTCTGGGGTCACACACCTGGGTCACCCATGTGTCACATTCCAGGTCACACACGTGTCTTTGGGGTGCCCAGGAGGGTCACACGTGACCCTGGGTCACCCTTGAGGGGTCACACCTGGGTCACACGTGTGTCACTAGGTCACCCTGCAGGTCACACACATGTCCCTGGGTCACCTCTGGAGGGTCACACCCGGGTCCCTGGGTCACACATGTGTCACTAGGTCACCCTCCAGGTCACACAGGTGTCCCCGGCTCACACCTGGGATGCACACATATGTCACTGGGTCACCCCTGGAGGGTCACACCTGGGTCCCTTGGTCACACATATGTCACTGGGTCACCCCTGGGGGGTCACACCTGGGTCCCTTGGTCACACATATGTCACTGGGTCACCCTGCAGGTCACACCTGGGTCCCTCGGTCACACATGTGTCCCTGGGTCACCCAGCAGGTCACACACGTGTCACTAGGTCACCCTCCAGGTCACACAGGTGTCCCTGGGTCACCCCTGGAGGGTCACATCCGGGTCCCTGGGTCACACATGTGTCACTAGGTCACCCTGCAGGTCACACCTGGGTTCCTCGGTCACACATGTGTCCCTGGGTCACCCAGCAGGTCACACACGTGTCACTAGGTCACCCTCCAGGTCGCACAGGTGTCCCTGGGTCACCCCTGGAGGGTCACATCCGGGTCCCTGGGTCACACAGGTGTCACTAGGTCACCCTGCAGGTCACACCTGGGTTCCTCGGTCACACATGTGTCCCTGGGTCACCCAGCAGGTCACACACGTGTCACTAGGTCACCCTCCAGGTCACACAGGTGTCCCCGGCTAACACCGGGGATGCACGCATATGTCACTGGGTCACCCCTGGAGGATCACACCCGGGTCTCTGGGTCACACAGGTGTCACTGGGTCACCCCTGGGGGGGTCACACAGGTATCCCTGGGTCACAGCCATGTCCCTGGCTCACCCTTGGGGGTGTCATGCCCGTGTCCCTGGGTCACAAGTGTGTCACGAGGTCACCCTGCAGGTCACACATGTGTCACTGGGTCACCCTTGGGTGGTCACACATGTGTCCCCGGGTCACACATGTGTCCCTGGGTCACCCTTGGGGGTGTCATGCCCGTGTCCCTGGGTCACAAGTGTGTCACTAGGTCACCTTGCAGGTCACAAGGTGTCACTGGGTCACCCTTGGGTGGTCACACATGTGTCCCCGGGTCACACATGTGTCCCTGGGTCACCCCTTGGTGTCACATCCATCCCCTGAGCCACATCCGTGTCCCAGCTGGTGTCCCCGTGTCCCAGCTGGTGTCACCCCCGTGTCCCAGCCAGTGTCCCCGTGTCCCAGCTGGTGTCCCCGTGTCCCAGCTGGTGTCACCCCCGTGTCCCAGCTGGTGTCACCCCCGTGTCCCAGCCGGTGTCCCCGTGTCCCCCACACAGGTGTCCCCGGCTCACACCTGGGATGCACACATATGTCACTGGGTCACCCCTGGAGGGTCACACCCGGGTCTCTGGGTCACACAGGTGTCACTGGGTCACCCCTGGGGGGGTCACACAGGTATCCCTGGGTCACAGCCATGTCCCTGGCTCACCCTTGGGGGTGTCATGCCCGTGTCCCTGGGTCACAAGTGTGTCACTAGGTCACCTTGCAGGTCACAAGGTGTCACTGGGTCACCCTTGGGAGGTCATACATCTGTCCCTAGGTCACACATGTGTCACTGGGTCACCCTTGGGAGGTCATACATGTGTCCCTGGCTCACACATGTGTCACTGGGTCACCCCCGGGGATATCACGCCCGTGTCCCTGGGTCACACAGGTGTCACTGGGTCACCCTTGGGAGGTCATACATGTGTCCCTGGCTCACTCCCAGGTGTCACCCCCGTGTCCCAGCCGGTGTCCCCGTGTCCCCGCCGGTGTCCCCGCGGTAACACGCATGCTTTGCCTTTGCCTTTGCCTTTGCCTTTGCCTTTGCCTTGCTGGGTCCCTTGGTCACACATATGTCACTGGGTCACCCTGCAGGTCACACCTGGGTCCCTCGGTCACACATGTGTCCCTGGGTCACCCAGCAGGTCACACACGTGTCACTAGGTCACCCTCCAGGTCACACAGGTGTCCCCGGCTCACACCTGGGATGCACACATATGTCACTGGGTCACCCCTGGAGGATCACACCCGGGTCTCTGGGTCACACAGGTGTCACTGGGTCACCCCTGGGGGGTCACACCTGGGTCCCTTGGTCACACATATGTCACTGGGTCACCCTGCAGGTCACACCTGGGTCCCTCGGTCACACATGTGTCCCTGGGTCACCCAGCAGGTCACACACGTGTCACTAGGTCACCCTCCAGGTCACACAGGTGTCCCCGGCTCACACCTGGGATGCACACATATGTCACTGGGTCACCCCTGGAGGATCACACCCGGGTCTCTGGGTCACACAGGTGTCACTGGGTCACCCCTGGGGGGTCACACCTGGGTCCCTTGGTCACACATATGTCACTGGGTCACCCTGCAGGTCACACCTGGGTCCCTCGGTCACACATGTGTCCCTGGGTCACCCAGCAGGTCACACACGTGTCACTAGGTCACCCTCCAGGTCACACAGGTGTCCCCGGCTCACACCTGGGATGCACACATATGTCACTGGGTCACCCCTGGAGGATCACACCCGGGTCTCTGGGTCACACAGGTGTCACTGGGTCACCCCTGGGGGGTCACACCTGGGTCCCTTGGTCACACATATGTCACTGGGTCACCCTGCAGGTCACACCTGGGTCCCTCGGTCACACATGTGTCCCTGGGTCACCCAGCAGGTCACACACGTGTCACTAGGTCACCCTCCAGGTCACACAGGTGTCCCCGGCTCACACCTGGGATGCACACATATGTCACTGGGTCACCCCTGGAGGATCACACCCGGGTCTCTGGGTCACACAGGTGTCACTGGGTCACCCCTGGGGGGTCACACCTGGGTCCCTTGGTCACACATATGTCACTGGGTCACCCTGCAGGTCACACCTGGGTCCCTCGGTCACACATGTGTCCCTGGGTCACCCAGCAGGTCACACACGTGTCACTAGGTCACCCTCCAGGTCACACAGGTGTCCCCGGCTCACACCTGGGATGCACACATATGTCACTGGGTCACCCCTGGAGGATCACACCCGGGTCTCTGGGTCACACAGGTGTCACTGGGTCACCCCTGGGGGGTCACACCTGGGTCCCTTGGTCACACATATGTCACTGGGTCACCCTGCAGGTCACACCTGGGTCCCTCGGTCACACATGTGTCCCTGGGTCACCCAGCAGGTCACACACGTGTCACTAGGTCACCCTCCAGGTCACACAGGTGTCCCCGGCTCACACCTGGGATGCACACATATGTCACTGGGTCACCCCTGGAGGGTCACACCCGGGTCTCTGGGTCACACAGGTGTCACTGGGTCACCCCTGGGGGGTCACACCTGGGTCCCTTGGTCACACATATGTCACTGGGTCACCCTGCAGGTCACACCTGGGTCCCTCGGTCACACATGTGTCCCTGGGTCACCCAGCAGGTCACACACGTGTCACTAGGTCACCCTCCAGGTCACACAGGTGTCCCCGGCTCACACCTGGGATGCACACATATGTCACTGGGTCACCCCTGGAGGGTCACACCCGGGTCTCTGGGTCACACAGGTGTCACTGGGTCACCCCTGGGGGGGTCACACAGGTATCCCTGGGTCACAGCCATGTCCCTGGCTCACCCTTGGGGGTGTCATGCCCGTGTCCCTGGGTCACAAGTGTGTCACGAGGTCACCCTGCAGGTCACACATGTGTCACTGGGTCACCCTTGGGTGGTCACACATGTGTCCCCGGGTCACACATGTGTCCCTGGGTCACCCCTTGGTGTCACATCCATCCCCTGAGCCACATCCGTGTCCCTGGCTCACTCCCAGGTGTCACCCCCGTGTCCCAGCTGGTGTCACCCCTGTGTCCCAGCCGGTGTCCCCGTGTCCCCGCCGGTGTCCCCGCGGTAACACGCATGCTTTGCCTTTGCCTTTGCCTTTGCCTTTGCCTTTGCCTTGTTTGTGTCTCTGCCCCGGCCCCGGGACGCAGCCAAGCAGAAGCAGAAATCGGTGAGTAGCGCCAGGACCCCGGGACTGGGGGGGAGAGGGAGGACCCCCCCGCTTGCAGCCCCCCCAAAACACCCCGGAGCCACCCCCGGGGGTGCCCCGTGTCCCCTCAGGGCCCGGTGACACCCGGCTGTGTCCCCAGACCGAGCACGTGCCCCCGTACGACGTGGTGCCCTCCATGCGCCCCATCATCCTCGTGGGGCCCTCCCTGAAGGGCTACGAGGTGAGCAGGGGGTGGGCAGCGCTCGGGGGGTGCGGGGGGACCCCAGCCCCGCTCTGTCCCCGTGTCCCTGTGACCCCGTGTCCCTGGCCAGGTGACGGACATGATGCAGAAGGCGCTGTTCGACTTCCTGAAGCATCGCTTCGATGGCCGGTGAGGGGGGCACGGCCGGGGACCCCCGAGCTCCTGAGGGGACCCCTGAACCCACAGAGGGACCCCCGAACCCCTGAGGGGACCCCTGAACCCACAGAGGGACCCCCGAGCTCCTGAGGGGACCCCCGAGCTCCTGAGGGGACGGTTAAACCCATAAAGGGACCCCTGAACCCCTGAGGGGGCCCCTGAACCCCCTGAACCCTAAACCCTTAAAGGGACCCCCAAAACCCTGAGGGGACCCTGAAGCCATAGAGGGACCCCATAATCCATGTGAGGGCACCTAAACACATAAAGGGACCCCTGAACCCCTGAGGGGGCCCCTGAACCCCCTGAACCCTAAACCCTTAAAGGGACCCCCAAAACCCTGAGGGGACCCTGAAGCCATAGAGGGACCCCATAATCCATGTGAGGGCACCTAAACACATAAAGGGACCCCTGAACCCCTGAGGGACCCCTGAACCTATAGAGGGACCCCCAAACCCCTGAGGGACCCCTAAATCCACAGAGGAACCCCTGAACCTGTGAGGGTGACACCGGTGTCCCGAGGATGGCCATGGTTGACACCGTGTCCCGGGGGTGGCCATGGGTGACACCGTGTCCCAGGGGTGGCCGTGGGTGACACCGTGTCCCGGGGGTGGCTGTGGGTGACACTGTGTCCCAGGGGTGGCCGTGGGTGACACTGTGTCCTTGACACCGGTGTCCCGAGGATGGCCATGGTTGACACCGTGTCCCGGGGGTGGCCATGGGTGACACCGTGTCCCAGGGGCGCCCGTGGGTGACACCGTGTCCCGGGGGTGCCCGTGGGTGACACGGTGTCCCGGGGGCGGCCGCGGCCGTGCCCCCGCTGCGTCCCCAGGATCTCCATCACGCGGGTCACGGCCGACATCTCGCTGGCCAAGCGCTCCGTGCTCAACAACCCCAGCAAGCACACCATCATCGAGCGCTCCAGCACGCGCTCCAGCCTGGGTACAGCCCCCAAAAAAACCCCAAAAAATCCCCAAAAACCCCCCCGGCCCCTGGAAACTACAGTAACTGGCATGTGCCACACTGGTGCAAGGTGGCCACTGCCCTTCTCTCACAGGCACACTGGGGGCTGCAGCTATTTTTTCTGGAGCAATGCTTATTCCTCTTTCCATCCTTCCTGTGGAATCTGAGGCTGCCTCAGCATGACCCAGAGCCTGTGTTAAGATCTGCCCTAACCATGCCTGCCATGGGGAACTGCCATCCTCTGCTTGGCCTCTCTACCAGCCCCATCCTCAACCTCAGTGCCTCCCTCCTCCTCCTCCTCTTTTATCTTCTCTGCTGTGTTTTTTTGTTCCTATTTCTCTTTTCTTTTGGTTCTCCTCCCCTCCGCGCTGCTCCTTCCTCCCCTGCTCCTGGCACAGATGTCTTGGGTACGTACAGGGACCCGGCCTGTCCTCCTCAGGTGGCCTCGGGGACACGCTCTGGGGCTTGGGGACACCGTGGTGGCACCTGTGTGACCACCCCCCCCCGTGTGTGTGTGTGTGTGGTTTGGGGTGGGGGGCTGTGCTGGTGTCACCTCCCTGGTGACAGCGAGGTGGCCGAGCCTCAGGACAAGCCCTGTCCTGCTGCTGTCCCCAAATTGTGACACCTGGGAGGTGGCCTTGCAAAAAAAAATAAAATAGATGCTGCAGAGAAATAAGAATATATATCTGTATTGAATATATCTATATATCAATATCTATTTTATATATATCTACATTGAATATATATTTTTATATAGATATATTTATATTGATATATACTGATATATATATTTATATATATAATATATATATTATATATATATATGAAGATACAGATATATAGATAGATATAGATATAGATATGTTTATATTGATATATACTGATATATATATTTATATATATAATATATATATTATATATATATATGAAGATACAGATATATAGATAGATATAGATATAGATATGTTTATATTGATATATACTGATATATATATTTATATATATAATATATATATTATATATATATATGAAGATACAGATATATAGATAGATATAGATATAGATATGTTTATATTGATATATACTGATATATATATTTATATATATAATATATATATTATATATATATATGAAGATACAGATATATAGATAGATATAGATATAGATATGTTTATATTGATATATACTGATATATATATTTATATATATAATATATATATTATATATATATATGAAGATACAGATATATAGATAGATATAGATATAGATATGTTTATATTGATATATACTGATATATATATTTATATATATAATATATATATTATATATATATATGAAGATACAGATATATAGATAGATATAGATATAGATATGTTTATATTGATATATACTGATATATATATTTATATATATAATATATATATTATATATATATATGAAGATACAGATATATAGATAGATACTGATACATAGATATATATCTATATATATATTTATATTGAATATATATCACCCCACCCCTAAGTCAGAAAAAACCTTAACCCAAGACTTCACCACACTGTCCCCACGCGTCCCCTGTCCCTCACTCCCCTGTCCCCATGCCTCACTCCCCTGTCCCTCAATCCCCTGTCCTGTACCCCCTGTCTCTCACTCCCCTGTCCCCTGTCCTTGTGTCCCCTGTCCCTGTGTCCCCTGTCCCTCACTCCCCTGTCCTCTGTCCCCTGTCCCCAGCCGAGGTGCAGAGTGAGACCGAGCGGATTTTCGAGCTGGCCCGGACGCTGCAGTTGGTGGCCCTGGACGCCGACACCATCAACCACCCGGCCCAGCTGGCCAAGACCTCGCTGGCCCCCATCATTGTCTACATCAAAATCACCTCCCCCAAGGTGGGTGCGGGCCCTGTGGCAGTGCCAGCCCCTCCCTGCCACGCTGGGGACAGCGGGCAGGCTCTGGCCATGTCCCCACGGCCACCCTGGCTGTCCCCTCCTGCCATGCTGGGGACAGCGGGCAGGCTCTGGCCATGTCCCCACGGCCACCCTGGCTGTCCCCTCCTGCCCAGGTGCTGCAGCGGCTGGTGAAGTCCAGGGGGAAGTCCCAGGCCAAGCACCTCAACGTGCAGATGCTGTCCTTGTGTCCCCTGTCCCTGTGTCCCCTGTCCCTCACTCCCCTGTCCCCATGCCTCACTCCCCTGTCCCTCAATCCCCTGTCCTGTACCCCCTGTCTCTCACTCCCCTGTCCCCTGTCCTTGTGTCCCCTGTCCCTGTGTCCCCTGTCCCTCACTCCCCTGTCCCCATGCCTCACTCCCCTGTCCCTCAATCCCCTGTCCTGTACCCCCTGTCTCTCACTCCCCTGTCCCCTGTCCTTGTGTCCCCTGTCCCTGTGTCCCCTGTCCCTCACTCCCCTGTCCCCATGCCTCACTCCCCTGTCCCTCAATCCCCTGTCCTGTACCCCCTGTCTCTCACTCCCCTGTCCCCTGTCCTTGTGTCCCCTGTCCCTGTGTCCCCTGTCCCTCACTCCCCTGTCCCCATGCCTCACTCCCCTGTCCCTCAATCCCCTGTCCTGTACCCCCTGTCTCTCACTCCCCTGTCCCCTGTCCTTGTGTCCCCTGTCCCTGTGTCCCCTGTCCCTCACTCCCCTGTCCCCATGCCTCACTCCCCTGTCCCTCAATCCCCTGTCCTGTACCCCCTGTCTCTCACTCCCCTGTCCCCTGTCCTTGTGTCCCCTGTCCCTGTGTCCCCTGTCCCTCACTCCCCTGTCCCCATGCCTCACTCCCCTGTCCCTCAATCCCCTGTCCTGTACCCCCTGTCTCTCACTCCCCTGTCCCCTGTCCTTGTGTCCCCTGTCCCTGTGTCCCCTGTCCCTCACTCCCCTGTCCCCATGCCTCACTCCCCTGTCCCTCAATCCCCTGTCCTGTACCCCCTGTCTCTCACTCCCCTGTCCCCTGTCCTTGTGTCCCCTGTCCCTGTGTCCCCTGTCCCTCACTCCCCTGTCCCCATGCCTCACTCCCCTGTCCCTCAATCCCCTGTCCTGTACCCCCTGTCTCTCACTCCCCTGTCCCCTGTCCTTGTGTCCCCTGTCCCTGTGTCCCCTGTCCCTCACTCCCCTGTCCCCATGCCTCACTCCCCTGTCCCTCAATCCCCTGTCCTGTACCCCCTGTCTCTCACTCCCCTGTCCCCTGTCCTTGTGTCCCCTGTCCCTGTGTCCCCTGTCCCTCACTCCCCTGTCCCCATGCCTCACTCCCCTGTCCCTCAATCCCCTGTCCTGTACCCCCTGTCTCTCACTCCCCTGTCCCCTGTCCTTGTGTCCCCTGTCCCTGTGTCCCCTGTCCCTCACTCCCCTGTCCCCATGCCTCACTCCCCTGTCCCTCAATCCCCTGTCCTGTACCCCCTGTCTCTCACTCCCCTGTCCCCTGTCCTTGTGTCCCCTGTCCCTGTGTCCCCTGTCCCTCACTCCCCTGTCCCCATGCCTCACTCCCCTGTCCCTCAATCCCCTGTCCTGTACCCCCTGTCTCTCACTCCCCTGTCCCCTGTCCTTGTGTCCCCTGTCCCTGTGTCCCCTGTCCCTCACTCCCCTGTCCTCTGTCCCCTGTCCCCAGCCGAGGTGCAGAGTGAGACCGAGCGGATTTTCGAGCTGGCCCGGACGCTGCAGTTGGTGGCCCTGGACGCCGACACCATCAACCACCCGGCCCAGCTGGCCAAGACCTCGCTGGCCCCCATCATTGTCTACATCAAAATCACCTCCCCCAAGGTGGGTGCGGGCCCTGTGGCAGTGCCAGTCCCCTCCTGCCATGCTGGGGACAGCGGGCAGGCTCTGGCCATGTCCCCACGGCCACCCTGGCTGTCCCCTCCTGCCCAGGTGCTGCAGCGGCTGGTGAAGTCCAGGGGGAAGTCCCAGGCCAAGCACCTCAACGTGCAGATGGTGGCCTCGGACAAGCTGGCACAGTGCCCACCTGTGAGTGTGCCCTGGTCACCGTGGTCCCACCCAGACTGACCCCACCCTGAGCTGACATGCCCACCCCCTGCCCGATATCTGCCCACCCTGTCCCATTGTCCCCACCTTGTCCCATAAGGCCCCTCCCTGTCCCATAGGCTGTGCCCCATATCGAGGTACCCCTCCCTGTCCCATTGTCCCCTCCCTGTCCCATTGTCCCCGCCCTGTGCCATAAGGCTCCACCCTATCCCATTGGTTCTGTCTCAAGCCCCATTGTCCCTGCCCTGTCCCATAGGTTTTCCCCCATATCCAGCTGCCTCTCCCTGTCCCACTGTCCCCTCCCTGTCCCATTGTCCCTACCCTGTCCCATTGTCCCCTCTCTGTCCCATAGGCTATGTCCCATTGTCCCCATCCTGCCCCATTGTCCCCACCTTGTCCCATAGGCTCTGCCCCACATCCAGCTGCTCCTCCCTGTCCCATTGTCCCCTCCCTGTCCCATAAGACCCCACCCTGCCCCATAGCTTCTGCCTCAAGTCCCATTGTCCCTGCCCTGTCCCATAGGCTCTGTCCCATTGTCCCTGCCCTGTCCCATAGGTTTTCCCCCATATCCAGCTGCCCCTCCCTGTCCCATTGTCTCCGCTCTATCCCACAGGCTCTGCCCCATATCCAGCTGCCCCTCCCTTTCCCACTGTCCCCTCCCTGTCCCACTGTCCCTGCCCTGCCCCCAGGCTCTGTCCCACTGTCCCCGCCCTGCCCCACAGGCTCTGTCCCACTGTCCCCTCCCTCTCCCACTGTCCCCGCCCTGCCCCACAGGCTCTGTCCCACTGTCCCCTCCCTGTCCCACTGTCCCCCCCCCATATCCAGCTGCCCCGCCCTGTCCCACTGTCCCCTCCCTGTCCCACTGTCCCCTCCCTGCCCCACTGTCCCCGCCCTGCCCCACCTCTCTCCCACCCCTTCCCCAGGAGATGTTCGACATCGTGCTGGACGAGAACCAGCTGGAGGAGGCCTGCGAGCACCTGGCCGAGTACCTGGAGGCTTACTGGAAAGCCACGCACCCGCCCAGCAGCAACCCCCCGAACCCGCTGCTGAACCGCACCATGGCCACGGCCGCGCTGGCCGCCAGCCCCGCGCCCGTCTCCAACCTCCAGGTACAGGTGCTCACCTCCCTGCGCAGGAACCTCAACCTCTGGGGCCGAGAGGCCACCCCCAGCCCCCCCGGAGCCCTGGAGGAGCACGCGCTGTGAGGTGGCGGCGGGGACGTTGGGGACATCGAGGATGTCGGGGCATCGGGACGACTCCTAGGCATCTCTCCTTGGGAGATGGCTGGGATCGAGGACTGCCCGGGGAGTCACAGCCCCCCAGAGGTGTGGGGTTGGCCCGGGGGTCACCTGGGATCAGGGTGACTCCAGGGGAATGTGGCCCCTCTGGTGTGGGGTTGTCCCTGAGGTCACCTGTCCTGGGTGACTCCAGGGGAATGTGGCCCCTCAAGTGTGGGGTTGTCCCTAGGGTCACCTTGCCTGGGATCAGGGTGTCCCCACAGGACTGTGGCCTCTTTCAGTTGTCCCTGAGGTCACCTTGCCTGGGATCAGGGTGACTCCAGGGGAATGTGGCCCCTCAGGTGTGGGGTTGGCCCGGGGGTCACCTGTCCTGGGTGATTCCAGGGGAATGTGGTCCCTCAGGTGTGACCCCCTCCCCTGGGGTCACCTGTCCTGGGATCAGGGTGACTCCAGGGGAATGTGGCCCCCCACAGGTGTGGGGCTGTCCCTGAGGTCACCTGTCCTAGGATCAGGATCACCCCACAGGGCTATGGCCCTCCCCAGCTGTGGGATTGTCCCTGAGGTCACCTTCCCTGGGATCAGGCTCTCCACCCTGGGACTGGGGCCACCCCTGGGGTTAGGGTCACCCCAGGGGACCGTGATCCCAAGGTCACCTGTTCTGGGGACTCTGGGATCAGGGCAGCCCATGGGATTGGGGTCACCATGGGGAACCAGAGCCCCCCAGGAGTGGGACCAGCCCTGTGACTGTTCTTTGAGAGCCTGTGTCCCCCCGGGGTACTGCAGGCCCCAGCTGTGGGACTGCTCCTGGGATTGGGATTACCCCAGGGAGCTGCTCCCATTCCTGGATTGGGGCCATCCTGGGGAGCTCTCCCTTCCTGGGACTGCTGCCAGCCCCACATTTGGGGTCTCCTGGGAATCTGTGCCTCCTCCTAGAGCTGCCCAGGGGATTGGGAACCCCCAGGATCTGCCCCTTTCAAGACCCACCCTGTGCCTTCCTGGAGCTGCCTGTGTGCCAGACCCCATTCCCACCTTTCTGGGGGAGCCGTGGTGGGGACGAGACTTTGAGGGTGTCCTGGGTGGGGGGCACAGCCCCATCCCTCCGTGCTGAGTCTGGGATCCTGCAGCCCCCCCCCTGGGGCTGGGGACAGAGAGGGGACAGTGTCCTGTGTCGTGTGTGGCTCAATCTCCCAGCGGGACTCTGCTGGTGCTCCATCCCCCTCCCCTGTGCTGCTCCCCCTCCCCATTCCCAGCCCTGCTGCCATCGTGTCACCCACCAGCGGCTGGCCAGCAGCGTGTGTCCCCCCACTAACCCCCCACTAACCCCCCCGGGTGACCCCAGCCCGTCCATCCCCGCATGGTGTGGTTGCTTCTCCCCAGGCTCCGTACCCGGAGGGGGAGCACGGCCGCCTCCGGCAGGGCCCGGGGGACTCGGGGGGCCGCGGGCAGGGCAGGGTCCCCCCGCCGCCCTCCCGCCCGGCTCCCCGCAGCCTGGCCCGCCAGGACACCTTCGACACGGAGGCTCCGGCCAGCCGGGACTCGGAGCCCGGCGATTCCTGCTGCATGGACATCGAGATGGATCCCGTCGAGGAGGAGCCGCCGGGCACCCCCGGGGCCGGACCGCAGCCCCCCCCCGGCTCCTGGGACGGGACCGAGCCGGGCCGGGGGCTGCGGGGGCGAGCCAAGGGCCAGGAGCCCCTGGGCCAGAGCGACGGGGAGGGCTGGGGCCGGGACGTTTACATGCGTTAGGATGAGGGGGTGCGGGCGGGGGGCTCCCCCCCCTCCCCAGCGCTGGTTTTGGGGTGCGGGACAGCCCCGCTGGTTGCCTTCGTGCGCCCCCGAGCCCGGCCAGCAGTGCCCCGGGGAGCCCCCGCTGTGCGCTGGGGGCTCCCCCTGCCCCGCTCGTTGCTGAGGGGGGGTCTCCCCCTGCCGCGGCCCCCCAGCATCTCCGGCAGGGACAGCAAGTGACCAAAAGGGGACCCGGCGTGTCCCCGTGCCCCAGGCGAGGGGTGGGGGCCGTGCCCCCCCTCCCGAACCCTGCCTGCTGGGTGCCCCCCGCTTCTCCATGGTGCTGTCGCCTGTGGGGGTCCCCGGAGCTGGCCGTGGCGGTGGGGGGGTCCCTGCCAGCTGCCCCCCAGCCCGGCAGTGCCTGGCACTGCCCCCACAGCCCCCGGCCCTGCCAGGGGGTGCATGCGTGTGTGTGCAGGGCGCTGGGGGTCCCCGCTGCCCCCCAGGCTGTGCCCCCCAAGGTGCTGCCTGCCCGAGGGGGGGGGGAGGGCGCGGTCTGCATGTGTTTGCCTTGTGGGGAGGGGGGCTCTGCCTGAATCGGGGGGTGGGGGGTGATTCTGAGCCAGTTTTGGGGGTCTAACCTGTGCTAACAGCTGCCCAGCCCTGGCCTGCCGGGGGGGTCCCGCTGTCCTGGCACTGCCAGGCCCCGGCCCCCCTTCCCCAGCCCCCCCTCCCTTCCCCTTCCAACCCCCCCGCCGTGCCTGTCCAGCCGTGTCCGTCTGTCCGTCTGTCCGTGAGCCTCTGTCTGTCCCCCCGCCGCGCCCCGGGGCACTGCCTTGTCCTGTGCCCGCCCCGGGGCGTCCCCTGTGCCCCCCAGCTCTGCGGGGTGACCACACCAGGGTGGCCTGGGGACACCCCACGTCCGGTCCTCACCGCGGGACGGGGCTTGTCCCCTTTCTGGTGCAGCCCCTTGCCCCCCACCCCCATTCCTGGGGGTCCCCGGGGTCACTGCCTTACCCAGACCACCAGCCCGGGTCGGGGGGCTTGGGGGCACCCAGCTCTGCCGCTGCCAAGCCGCCACCCACGTGTGCCTCAGTTTCCCCCTTTTTTTTTCGGGGGAGGGGGACTCGGTGTCACTGCCTGCCAAGTGCTTTGAGCCCCCCCTGCCCCAGCGCTCGCCCCCGTGGCGGCCAAAATCCGGGCAGTGGGGCCCCCCCGGTCCCCCCCGCGGGGCAGAGGGACGTCCCGTATTTATGTCACCCCACAAACTTTTAATTTAAAGACCCGACAGAAATGTATTTTATTTATTTATTTTCGTTGACGTGTGTGTGTGTGTGTGTGTGTTGGGGAGGGGGGGGACTCGCCCCGCTCGCTTGGTTCTTTGTAATAAACATTTCGATGAGACCTGCCCCCCCGCCTGAGCCTGCTGGGGGCTGGGGGGACACGGGGGGACACGGGGGGACACCGGGGGGCTGCGCTCACCGCGGCTGGACCGGGCACAGCTGAGCTCAGCTCCCGCTCCGGGCTGAGGATGGAGCTGGGACCTGCCCGGCTCCGGGGAAGGGGCGAGGATCAAACGCGGGGGTCGGGGGGCTCCAGCCCCCCCCGGGGGTGGCCAGCGCCAGCAGCCGGGCTCAGCGCGGCGCTGGGCCGGGTTTATCGGCGCTGGGCCGGGTCTGGACGCGATATTTACAGGTAATAAATACACCGGAGAGCGCTCAGGGCTGCCGGCACCGCCACTCGCTCTTCTCCGGCCGGTACTCGAACGCCTTCCTGCGGACAGCACACGGCGACATCGGTGACACTCAGCCCTGTCCCCCGCATCCCCCAGCCGGGTGTCCCCACTCGGTGACACTCAGCCCTGTCCCCCGCATCCCCCAGCCAGATGTCCCCACTCGGTGACACTCAGCCGTGTCCCCCCGGATTCCCCCACCTGGGAGTCCCCAATCGATGACACTCAGCTCTGTCCCCCCGCATCCCCCAGCCAGATGTCCCCAACTGGTGACACTCAGCCATGTCCCCCCGCATTCCCCCACTCGGGTGTCCCCTAGTCGGAGACACTCAGCCCTGTCCCCCCGCATCCCCCAGCCCAGGGCTGCTCCCGGGTGTCCCCACTCGGTGACACCCAGCCCTGTCCCCCCACCCAGAGCTGCACCCCGTGCCCCCCACGCCCCCTGCCCACCCCGTACTCACTCTCTGGCGGGCACCGAGGGTCGGCACACCAGCCCGGCCTGGCAGGGGCACACCTGGTTGATGCTGAAGGCGAGTCCCCCGGGGGGGACGTGGCAGCTCTGGGCGAGCGCCAGGCGCGGTTGGCAAACTCGCTCCCCGTGCTGGCGAGCGCAGCAGCCGCCGGCCCCGCACTCCTCGTCCCGCTGGCACCGCGCTCCTGGTGGCACAAAAAGCGACCTCAGGGCACGGGGACCCCCCCACTCTGACCCCCAGCATCCCCTGGTTTAGCACCTCTCCGGCATCGCATCCCCCCCGTGCTCGCAGAGCTCGTCCCCGCTGTGCCCCCCGTGGCAGCCCCCCACTCACCGTCCTGCCCGGGGGGCACGGGCTGCTGGCACTTGCCGAACATGCAGACGAGGCCGGGGGCGCAGTGAGGGTCGTGGCGGCAGTAGTGGCCCTCGGGCCGCGTGGGCAGGCACAGCCCGAAGTGCTCGTCACAGAAGTGCCCGTGGGCACAGGGGGTGGCGGGGCTGCACGGGGTCACCTGCGGAGGAGGGGACACGGCACGTCAGGGGGGCACACCTCATCCCCCACCCCATTCCATCCCTGACCCCGAGACTGGCTAGGAACGGCGCAAATCCCCATCTGTTCACACGTTTGCTGTGGGGATGCTGCCGTGATTTTGGGGGGCCGGGCGTGGCAGCTGCCTGGGATCCAGGATATTTTTTTTTTCTCGTGAAAAGAAAACCCGTAGGCGGGGCTGGGCAGGGGGGGTGGGACAACACGGTGGACGCAAATCCCCATCTGTTCACACGTTTGCTGTGGGGGTGCTGCGGTGATTTTGGGGGACCGAGCGTGGCAGCAGTGCTCTGCCAGCCTGGGATCCAGGAGGACTTTTTTTTTTTTTTTCCTCGTGAAAAGAAAACCCGGCTGCGGGGCGGGGGCAACACGAGGGGGGTGCGGCGTGAACCCCTCCAAAAGTCCTGCTCCAGGTGAGGCTCGAACTCACAACCTCGGCATCGCTCGTGTACCGCCCTATAAGTACCGCGCGCTGACCGATTGCGCCACTGGAGCGCTCGGCGCCGCCCGCCGCCACCGCGCCCCCTGCCGGCCCCGCCGCCGCACCCCCCCGTGCTCCCCGGATGGACACGGACCCCCCCGGAGGGACACGGACCCCCCTGTGCCCCCCGGATGGACACGGACCCCCCCGGGTGGACACGGACCCCCCTGTGCCCCCCGGATGGACATGGACCCCCGCCGTGTCCACCCCCGGCTGCCCACCGGCTCCCGTGTCCCCCGTCCCCGGCAGAACACTGTGGGGTCACCGCGGGTGACACTGCAAACCCGTGCCTTGCTGCGACTTCTGCACCTGCCCCTGCGCCCCCTCTGTGCCCCCCCTTGATGCAAATCCTGAGCCCACCCTGGCTCCAAGCTACCCTGGACCCCAGAGCCCACCCTGAGCCCACCTTGAGCCCACCTTGAGCCCACCCTGCTGCAAATCCTGAGCCCGCCCTGGCTCCAAACCACCCTCGTACCCTTGAGCCCACCCTGGCTGCAAACCCAGCTCTGTGCCCACCCTGAGCCTACCCTGCTGCAAACCCAGCTCTGTGCCCACCCTGGCTGCAAACCCAGCTCTGTGCCCACCCTGAGCCCACCCTGGCTGCAAATCCTGAGCCCACCCCGACTCCAAACCACCCTCGTACCCTTTCAGCCCACCCTGAGCCCACCCTGGCTGTAGATTCTGCCCTCACCCACCCTGTCTGCACACCCCGCTCTGTGCCCACCCTGGCTGTCTCCCACCCTCTCCCACCCCGCTGTCCCCCCGGGGGTCGCTCCCCCTTCCTCACCTCCTCCAGGTGCGCCCCGGGGCTCCTGCCCAGGGCGGCGGCATCGGGCGAGTTTTGCGGCAGGGAGAACATCCATGCCCAGAGGTGCCCGGCGGCGGGTGGCAGCAGCCAGGCGACGAGGCAGAGGATGGCCGGGGATGTCACCATGGTGCTGGCGCTGGCGGTGGCGGTGGCAGCCCGGCCGGGCCCGCGGGGTTTATGTAGCCGGGGGATATCGGAGCCCCCGCTGCTAAAACTGTTTGCCCACCTAATGGGGTGGGAGGAGGCAATCAGGGGTTAAGGGATTTCCATAATTGCCAGCCTTCCCCTCGGGGGGGGCAGCAGCCCCTCAGCAAACAGCCGCCCCCGGGGCAGTCTGGCTCCGGCGCCAGCCCTGGGAACAGCCTGGGGTGTCCTGTGTGTCCCCACGGCTCCGAATGATGATTTCGGGTGTAATTTGGGGTGTCCTGTGTGCCCCACGGCTCCGAATGATGATTTTGGGGGGCAGTTTGGGGTGTCCTGTGTGCCCCCACAGCTCAGAATGATGATTTTGGGTACAGCCTGGGGTGCCCTGTGTGCCCCACGGCTCCGAATGATGATTTTGGGGGGCAGTTTGGGGTGTCCTGTGTGCCCCACGGCTCCGAATGATGATTTTGGGGGGCAGTTTGGGGTGTCCTGTGTGCCCCCACAGCTCAGAATGATGATTTTGGGTACAGCCTGGGGTACCCTGTGTGCCCCCACGGCTCCGAATGATGATTTTGGGTACAGCCTGGGGGAGTCCTGTGCGCCCCCACAGCTGGGAATGATGATTTGGGGGGCAGTTTGGGGTGTCCTGTGTGTCCCCACGGCTCCGAATGATTTTGGGTACAGCCTGGGGTGTCCTGTGTCCCCACAGCTCGGAATGATGATTTGGGGGGCAGTTTGGGGTGCCCTGTGTGCCCCACGGCTCCGAATGATGATTTTGAGCACATTTTGGGGTGTCCTGTGTGCCCCCGTAGCTTGGAATTATGATTTTAGGCGCAGTTTGGGGTTCCCTGTGTCTCCCCATAACTCAGGGGGTGCAGTTTGGGGTGTCCCGTGTTCCCCCACAGCTCAGAGTGATTTGGGGTACAGTTTAGGGTTCCCTGTGTCCCCCCACAGCTCAGGGTGGCGATTTCGATGCAGTTTGGGGTTCTCTGTGTCCCCCCACATCTCACCAGGGGGGTAGATACAGTTTGGGGTGTCCCGTGTCTCCCCCACATCTCGGAATGATTTTGGGGTGCCCCCCACATCTCAGGAGGGGGGTGGATGCAGTCTGGGGTGCTTTTTGTCCCCTCCACCCCCTCAGGTCCCCCACCCCATGTCCTGGAGATCCCCCCACAGCTCGGGGGGCTACATTTGGGGTACCCCATCCCCACAATTCCCCTTTTTTTTTCCCTTTCCCGGAGCGGGCACAGCGGGAACGAGGAGAACCCAGAGGGAAAAGCCGGGGGGGGGCAAAGCCTGCGACCCCCAGAGGGGGCAGCGGGGGGCACAGGGCTGGCATCAGCCCGGTGTTTGTGCGTCCCCCGTGTCCCCCCGCCACGCCGGGGTGACGGGATTGGCACCTTCCCTAACGCCGCCGCGAATGGGCTGCGAGCCCGGCCCTTATCGCCCGGCCCTTATCGCGGCCCCCCTGCCCACCCCCCCAGCGCAGCCCCCCGGACGGTGTCACCTCCGTGTCCCCAAACGCGCGGGGGGCTCAGGCCCCGCGCTCCCCCAGAGCCCTGCAATACACTTCGGGTCCCTCCGGGGGCAGTTTGGGGTGTCCTGTGTGCCCCCCACCCAAAGCTCGGAATGATTTTGGGGTGTCCTGTGTGCCCCCTACAGCTCGGAATGATGACTTTGGGCACATTTTGTGCACATGTGTGCACAAAATGATGACTTTGGGCACATGTGTGTTCCCATAGCTCAGAATAATTTTGGGGTGTCCTGTGTGCCCTCCCCCCATAGCTCGGAATGATTATTTTGGGCACATTTTGGGGTGTCCTTTTTGGGGTGTTCTGTGTGCCCCCCACAGCTCGGAATGATGATTTTGGGCACATTTTGGGGTGTCCTGTGTGTCCCCATAGCTCGGAATGATTTTGGGGTGTCCTTTGTGCCCCCACACCTCTAGGTGACAATTTGGAGACCCCCCTCCCCTACATTTCCCCCCCTGCCCACTCTCCCCGGCCCTTTCCCGCTGCCTCCGTGCCTCAGTTTCCCCAGCTGTGACGCAGCAGGGGTGACACAGGCACAGTGGGGTGACCCCAAACTTTTCTCCCGCTGCTCCGGGACGGGCGATCCGCCAGGATCCGACCCCCCCCGAGCCCCCCGTGTTTGCCCCGCGGCTTTGGCAGCAAATATTGACCCCGCTCCGGGGCACCGTCCCTGTCCCCATCCGTCCCCCGCTG